AACCAAGGATCCTTCTCGCTGGATGACGTTTGAGTCCAGGAAGTCCGCGTTCTCCTTGATGGAAGACTGGTGCGGCTTCTCGCCGAACCAGACACAGATCCGGGTCCGCGAAGATACCATGAGACAGTCCCTCATCGACCAGCAGTCCCTGGGCGAGAGGGGAACAGTCACCGCGGCCATGGAGATCGAGAAGCGCAACCTGCGTACGGCAGCGCTGAGTGCTATGGCAGCACTCTGCGGCGGTCCGATGAGCATCACCACGGAGAGCGGCAACACGCTCCAATTCGACGTCCGGAGGATGCTGGCGTGGATCGAGGCCATTTTCAACTCGGGCAGCGACCGAATGAACGTAATCGGACGGAGAGCTCTGCAGAACCTCATCGTCCATAACCAAGAGTACCCGTATCTGTTGGAGCATTGTATCGCGCGTTGCTACCTGACGGACGTTTCCAAGGTTCAGGAGAGCTACTTTGCAGTGGTCACTCAGGTCCTCCTGGAGCACCTCGACTACTCGTGCCCCTTTTGGAAGCTGCTCGGCCTCTGCCTCTTTACCTTGGGCAACGATGAAAGCGAGATCCGATCAAAGTCCGCCCGCGTTCTGAGGGCACTCGAAGAGCGACAACAGCCGGGCCGCACCTCCAAGATTCAAGACTACGACATCAGTATTTCGGACAAGACCAAGGCTGTGTACAAGCTCGCTCAGTTCGAAATCTCCAAGCGACTCGCCAAGCAACACACGGAGTTGGCCTTCCACATCTTCTCCGAATTTACGCTCTACTTCAAGGATCTTCAAGCGGCATCCCAACGCAACGTAATTGCTGTCATCTTACCCTGGATTCAGTCTATCGAGCTCAAGGTCGATCCGAACGGCGGCCCGATTGCTCAGTCATACGTTCTCCTGGCCAACCTGCTGGAAATCACCATCAAGTCCAGCGGCGCTTTGCACAACGAAGTCCAGGCCTTGTGGCAGGCTCTCGCTACGGGGCCATACCCCGGAAACGTGCGGTTGATTCTGGACTTCATCATTTCGCTGTGCCTCGAGCGCCGAGAGCAGAACTTTGTTGAATATGCCAAGCAGATCGTGGTCTTCCTCTCCAGTACGACAAGCACCCCTGGGATGAAGGTTGTCGAGTTCCTTCTCATGCAGATTACCCCCAAGGCTATGGTGCCAAATGAGAAGAAGGACGCCATGCCGCCGCCGCCCGACATCGGTCTGCTACCTTACTGTGCAGACCTCGGAGAAGCCCTCCCTGTCGGCACTAAGCAAGCTGGGTTCTCTTTGGGACAGCTGTCGCTGATCCTCTTGGTGGACCTCATGGTGTCACCCGTGCACTTGACCCCGGACAACGTCCCGGTGCTCCTCCAAGTCGTCACCGTTCTCTGGGACCACTACACGCCTCTTGTACAAGAGCAAGCCAGGGAAATGCTAGTCCACTTGATCCACGAGCTCGTCATCTCGCAATTAGATGACCAGACTCCGCCCACGGCTCGAGCGTCGATCGAGGATCTCATCGACCTCATCCGTCGCCACGATCGCTCCGTCGTCTGGGGCTATGAGGACAGCAACGGCAAGGCCGACGACCATGACAACAAAGTCCCCCCAAGCATGGAGTTCCTCACGGCCGAAGTCGTCAAGACCTTTGAGATGACGTATCCCGGCATCAAGGACCAGTGGGGCAGACTGTCACTGACATGGGCGACCTCCTGTCCCGTGAGACACCTTGCCTGCCGGTCTTTCCAGATTTTCAGATGCATCCTCACCTCGCTGGATCAGTTCATGCTAGGCGACATGCTCGCTCGCTTGTCCAATACAATTGCTGATGAAGACACCGAGATCCAGACTTTCGCCATGGAGATTCTCACGACGCTCAAGACACTCATCCTCAAGCTCGATGCCGACAAATTGCTCACCTTCCCTCAGCTGTTCTGGACGACCTGCGCTTGTCTGGAATCGATCAACGAGCGCGAGTTTTTGGAGGCCGTGGAGATGCTCAACGAGTTCCTCTCCAAGGTCGATTTCCAGCTGCCGCATGTTCGCCGTATGTTACTTGACGGCCAGCCGTCGAGATGGGATGGGCAATATGAGGGTCTGCAATCTCTTCTACACAAGGGCTTAAGGTCTTCAGTATGTATGGAGGCGACCCTCAGCACCATCGACAAGCTGGTCCAGCTGCCGAGTGACGGTCTCATTGGAGATGATAGCCGGGTCTTCTTTGCCATCCTAGCCAACTTTCCCCGTTTCCTGCACGAGATGGAGCTGGATGAGCCTAGTGAGTCCGTTCTGCAGTCTGCTGAGATCCTATGTGCGGTTGCGGAAGCTCAGGGCCTCGGCAACATCTCTGTTGTCCTCGAGGAATACGTTGCCTTCAAATATCAAGGCAACAGCAGAGAATTTCAAAGCCGTCTCTTTGGAGCTTTGAAGGACCACTTCCTGCCCAAGCTGGACTTCAAAATGGTCATCTTCCTGATGGGCCTGCTCACCAATTCCACGGCCTGGGTCAAACTTAAGACAATGAACATCCTCAGCATCGTTATACCCGAGATCGACATGCGCAAGCCCGAGCTAGCCGGACACGGATCGGATCTTATCTCGCCTCTGCTGCGTCTGCTGCAGACCGAGTTCTGTATGGAGGCGCTGGAGGTCCTCGACAACATCATGACAATGTCGGGCAGCGCCATGGACAAGCAGCACTTGCGCATGAGCATGACGCGCTCGACGTCCAAGACGATCCGCAAGGAATACGAGCGCACCCAGAGCCTGTTCGGCATCCCGGAAGCATCCGGCTGGGCCATCCCCATCCCTGCCAAGAAGACGGATCTCACGCGCGCCAACATCCACGCAGCGTTCTACATGTGCCAGACCGCGGAGGGTATCATGACGGAGGCAACGCCGACGCCCGACGTCGAGTTCCATACGGACGATTTCCCCTACAGCTACTTCCACCAGATGCCCGACCGCACCGAGACGATGATGTCGGACGAGGGCCGTGGCGACGGCCACCTCGGCGATCTCGTGACGAAGCTGGACAGCCTCGACGACTTCTTCGATGACCTCGGAACGAGCCCGCCCAGCGACGGCCGCTCGTCAAAGACCATCACCGAGTTCTCGCCGGACAGCTTCGAGTCCGGGGCGCAGCTGTATGATGAGCAAATCCTGCCAATCCTGCACCAGGCCTCCAACAACAGCACGTTCCAGAATGGGTTTACTGACAGGCCACCAGCTACGGCAAGGGATCCGAGCAGCTCCAACACGATGAATCCTGGAGCCTTTAGCGCGTCGGCGGGCGGGTTGATGGCGGGCAACGGCGGGTCGCGGCCGGGTCTTCACCTGCGGTCCATCACGTCCCCGTCCGCGCCTGCGTCGTACCAGCCGCACATTAGCGAGTTCGCGTCGGACGACGAGTTCCCCGAAGACGTTTTCTCGGATGCGGACGACGAGCGGCCGAGCACGGGGCACGGCGGCGAGGGCTCCTTCTCGTTGGAGAACATGATCAAGCCGCTCGCGCAGAGCACGAGGTCGAGGATGCGCCGTCTGACGGGCGGCCGATCGCGCGAGAGCGACCGACAGCAGGAGCTGTTCCGAGCCGAACGAGCCGCGGCCGCGCAGGCGGTCCCGAAGGTGCCTACGAACTACTTGACGAAGATGCCTCCTCAGGGAGAGATGTTGTAGAGGTTTGGGGACGAGCATGTGAGATTCATATTTTGTGATTCTACTACTACGTAATCAGGGGCGCGTGTCACACGTCCCCTTCTGGAGGAAGATGTAAGAGAGCAACCGGAGAGGCGAAGCATTTTAACTACTACGTTGGGACATGGAGCGTGCGATTGCATGTAAACAGACGAAACTTACGTATCTTCATATCACGACCAATGATGAATAGAGGAGAAGAGGCGACTGGAGGGGGGCGTACCTTACCTTACCTAATGACGAAAAAGAAGCAAGAAAAAGTTTACACGATTCTTTTGGGAATCACACAGTATTAGCATCTTCTGGTTCAAACGTGATTCTTGAAATTTTGTGAGACCAACCCTATAACTTTTGCCCCGGGGATATCATTCCTGTCTCTCTCTCTCCCGCAGTCGCGATGCAAATAAGAAGCTGGTGTCCGCGCCGCCCACTGACGGGGATTCCCTCGAGAACCCCATGTGTGATGTTCTCTAGTATCGGTGCCTCGTAGAGTAGTCCTTGGGACTGACGACCAGACCGCGGCCCTTCTTCGCGCCGCGGTATACGGTCTCGATGATGTCGATGAGCTCCTGCTTGTCCTCGAGGACCCAGTTGAGCTTGTTGTTGTTACCGGTGCCGAAGTCGACCATCATGTGCTTGTTGCGGAAGAAGAACATGATGGTGCAGGGGTCGTAGAGCTCGTACATCTGGTTGAAGTCGGGGACCTGGTCGATGTCGCAGACGTAGATGGAGGCGAAGTTCTTGACGCGGTCGGAGATGCGGTAGAGGACCTCGTCCTGGCGCATGCAGTCCGGGTCGTAGTCGCGGCCGAAGCGGATGACGACGAGGCGCTCCTCCTCGGAGAGGATGGCCTGGTCGACGTGCCAGCCGGAGTTGAGGTGGGGGATGACGATGGAGCCCATGGTTGTTTTTTTAAGGGAGGTGGTGGAATGTGGTTCGTGGTGGGTTTGTGGCGTCTGGGAGGGTGTTCGCGGGGGAGGTTATTGTTTGGGTTAAAGATGGGAGAGTCGCGATGGAGAGGATGGTGTTTCTAGAAATTTGGACGAGAGTTTGGTTGGTTGGTTAAGTTTAGGCGTAGGTAGGCGCGCCGCACGGCGAAATGTCATTGCGGGTCCACGGCCCCGCTAGATTAGTCCCCGCGCTAATCCCGATGCGGTAGATAAGATAGAGCGGTGGGTGCTGGCAGAACTTTTTATTTCTTGAAGGGTCTATCCACTGGCTCGTTCTCGCCGTGAAGCTAGTGAGAGAGCAGGAATGTGAGAGAGAGGAGATCTCTACATTCGCAAAATCTCAATTCAACACCACCGAAATCATGCCCAAACGACCGTCGCGCGGACCCGACGATGCGGCGCGCAAGAGGCAGAAGGTCGTGCACGAAGCGCCGACTTTTGAGGAGGTGAACACTGCGAGGCAGCTGCAGGGCCTCTTGACCTTCGACCAGGACCAGAAGCGCGCGAGACATGGTGAGTTCAAGTCATCCTTTCCCCAATTGCCTGCGCATATTGGTCCAGAACCCATCTTGGCTGACCATATATCTACCCCAAAGGCATCCAATCCCTCAAAGTCTTCCTCGACGGCTTCAACACCCCCGACGCCGACAACAGCGACCGCTTCGCCCTCCTCCGGGAGTACCTCGTCGCCGCGCAGCCCCGCGACACGAGCGAGGATGCCGTGTATCTCCCCGACCTGATGGAGATGTGGGCGTTCGGCGCGCAGGCCAACAACGAGGGTCTCATGTCGGCGGTGCCGGCCGTGCTGGCGCTGCTGCTGCAGGTGGCCTCCTCGTCGCTGGAGCTGCTCCCGCGGGCGCTGGACCTGGCGCGCACGCTGCTGCAGGAGCGCCAGCTCAAGCTCGTCGCGCGCAACCTCTCGGCGCCCAAGGGCAGCGGGTACGTCATCTCGCCGACGCTGCGGCTGCTGCGCGAGGTCGTCACGATCGACGGCGGGGCGCTCGCGCGGCGGGTGTTCCGCGCGCGGGACTCGACGTTTGCGAGCTTCGCGCGGAACCTCGAGATCCGGCACCTGGGATCCGAAGGGCTCGAGGACCCGTCGAAGCCGTCGGTGCGGACGAACGCGATCAAGCTGTTTCTGAGCTGTCTCAAGTACCTGCCGTCCGAGGCGAAGAAGGAGCTATTGATGCTGAAGGAGGTGTTCTCGCACTTGACGTTTCTGTTGAAGGACGACCCGCCGTTTTTGATCTCGGAGATGCTGGATGCGTTGAAGAAGCACGTGTTGCTGGACGAGAAGCTGCCGAGGGAGGTCAAGTTTCGCGCGTTTAACACCAAGACTCTGGACAGATTGGCGGGGTTGTATGCGTACAGGCATGATGGCGAGGGGGAGGTGAAGGAGAAGGTGCACGAGTTCCTGGTGTATGCGTGTACATCCCCAGGAGCTGGGGTGTTGTACTCCGGCACAGGGCTGTACCCAAAGGAGCTGGAGGACGAGGCGGCGCAGGATGTCAAGAGCTCAGACGATTTCGGGCTGGAGCGCGTCGCGTGGATGGACAAGTACAAGGACGAGGTTGCCGTCGCCAACTTTGTGCTGTCCGAGTTCATTCAGAAGCTGCGGCCGTGGTCGAGTCTAAAACACAGCGAGCTCATCGTTGCCATCTTCCAAGCGGCGCCAGAGCTGGTTGCGAGCTACTTTATCGGCAACAAATCCTTCTCCTTCGAACCCAAGCTGTCCATGACGTGGATCGGGTACGCCGCTTTCCTTTTCAACACCGTTCATCTACCGCTACCACCGCATTTTGGCCCGACAAACGGGTACCGCCGTGTGCCTCCGCCGACGTCGATCCTGCTCGACAACATCCTGCCGCTACCCCTGAAGCAGCGTGATTTGGTGCGATGTCTTTCGCACAAGTCGACGCTGGTCTCCTTCTTCGCCGTCCGCATTCTCGTCCTGGCGCTGCAAAAGCTGGAAGTCGCTCTCAAGATGCACCGCGAGGCGGCCGAGTCGGCCAAGTCCACGTGGGACACGGCCTCTCGCAAGCTGATTGACGAGTTCTGCCAGAAGATCCCCGACATGAAGGAGGTCACGAAGTGCTACAAGGCCATGGCGGAGGAGAACGTGCTCCAGCGCGAGGCAGCTAGTCGGCTGCTGCTGCTGTACTACGAGGTCATCCCGCAGGTCGCCCTGCGCGCCAACTTTGACGTCTCGCCGTTCCTCGTCAACGCGCTCAACCGTCTCGACGGCACGGCCGAAGAGCCGCAGAACCAGGCGCTCGCGCTCATGGAGCTGGAGAACCTGATCGCGATCGCGGGGTATTCGCCCGGCATGAGGTGGTTCGCCAAGGCGGAGGGGCTGGCGGCGTCGCCGTTTGTCGCGCTGCTGAAGTTGTACGTGGAGAACGCGCAGGGCAGGACGAAGCTGAAGCAGGTGCTGGAGTCCGTTGCGGTGCAGCACCAGCTCGTCCTGCCGGAGACGGGGCTCGCTCCCTTTATCCGCGCTGCGAAGGGTGTGAAGAAGGGCAAGGCAAAGGATATCGACTTTATCTGGGGGTATCTTGATAACTGTGCCGGACGGTGCGCCGCGTCAGCCCTGAAGTATGTGGACTTGATGCAGGAGAGCGTAGAGGACGACGTTTCTGCGAGTTTGATACTGGCTGCCATGGTGGAGCAGCTGCCGTTCATCGCTGACAAGACGACGGATAAAAAGGAGTTGGAGCTGCTCTCGAAGTTCCTGGCGCTTGTGCTAAGTTGTGCAAAGACAAAGGGGGAGACGTCAGCGGCGATTGATGCGCTGGCGAAGAAGATGTCTGCAATACTCGACGGCCGCGCCGCGGCCGTTGTGCCTAAGTCAGACAAGAGTCTACTCGGTGACGCCTCAGAAGAGGCGGACGAGTCCGAAGACACCACCAAGCCAGAACGACAAAAGGCAGCCACCGGCGGCGAGCTGGACGACTCCTCCCTTGTAGCCATCCTCGACGTGCCCTTCGCCGACGACGAGGACAACTCGGCTCTCCTGAAATGGAACTCCAAGAGCGTCGAGGACCTCATCGACGACGGCCACGCCGCGGCGCTCATCCGCCTTCTCTGGTCCGAGCACGCCAGCATCCGCCAGGAAGCGCTGACCAACATCATGAAGATGGCCGCCCGGATCAAGGAGTCGTCGTACGAGGAGAAGGACCAGATCTGGCTCCTCCTCTCGGAGCTGGCCGAGTCGGCGCGCGCGCTAGTAGCCCGCGGGCCCGTCGCGTCGCCGCTCGTCGCCTTCGCGATCGCGGCGCTCGACGTCCTCCGCAACCCGCTGCACTGCCTCTACGCCAAGGTCAACACGTTCCTCACGCGCGGGCCCGTCTGGCAGGCGGACAAGGTGCCGCTCGCGCACGACATCCTGCACGGCGCGCCGTCGGACGACGACCGCTACTACACGGAGGTGAGCTGGCTGCTGGCGTACCTGCTGGAGGGGCTCCGGGGCCCGGCGGACCTGGCCGTGTTCCACCAGAAGAAGTGGTTCGAGAAGGTGTTTGCGCTGGCGGCGAATCCGTACCTGCGGGCGAACCTGCGGACGAGGATATTGCGGGTGGTGTACCGCGCGACGTGCGTCGAGGGCGGGAGCACGACGCTGGCGACGCGGTTTGGGATTGTGAGCTGGCTGGAGGCGCAGGAGGCGCGGTATGTGGCGGCCGGGGACGAGGAGGTGGCGAAGGTGTTTAGGGCGCTGAGGAGGCGGGTTTGGGAGACTTGTGATCGGGAGAGGGTTGGGGAGTGGAGTCGCGGTGGTGTTGTTGCGGCTTTGGAGGGTTGAGATAGGGGGTATGATGGGAGGGTAGAGGTTAATGTATTAAAATAAGGAAGTTTAGGAAGGATACTCAAAATGAGATGGTATATGGTATACAACTGGGGCCGATTTGTGTGTCTTTCTGCTCTTCTTCTGAGTTTGTTTGGTTCGACATTGTTCATCCTGCTTCTATTATGTGCCACCCGACGTTCGGACTGTGAGCCCTGAACCTGATATTTACTCATTGACTTTCATGATTAAGCTGTAGATCAGCAATAGGTAGTTTGTGTTTGCTACCATCACAACCACCTGTTCCTTCTGCCATCTCTGCCTTCGTCTCTGCCTTCGTCTCTGCACATTATTTCCGCATATCATTTCTGCTGTCATGTAAGTGCTCGATTGCTGTTCCTGGTCTTCTAATAGGGACATTTGACATGTCTTAGCAGCAATCAGATTCCTACTATGTGCACTTATCTGATCTTGTTTTGTTCAGTGTTTAAATTGTTGTGAGCATGTAGATTTATTTTGTCTTCTTTGATTTATACGTTTATTCACTAGTCTGTTAAGATTGGGTATTTCATTTGTGATCGAGGTCGTACAAGAGTATTCTCCATGTCTACTGGCCAATTTAGAAGCATGAATGCACGTAGGGAATTGGATCACAGGCCGACGTCACTTGGACTGTGTCAGACCTCGTTCCTGACTTGTGTTGGAGGAGATTACGGGGTCAGGTTAGCTTGGATGGAGAAAAAGCAAAGACGAGGAGTTGTAAAACTCAATTGTCTTTTGTTGGCAGTGTCTCTTGCATGTTTCGAGAACCAACATGCAGGATTATCACGGGATATGCCAGTCAGCCAAGTTTTGCATGAAGATTCGCATGGAGACGTGGTTGAGATCGAAGCAGGAGGTTCTTGTTCTACTGCTTGGCACCCCCCCCCAGCCCGTGATTCAAAGATTCGACGCTAAGCGATATTGGGCGATTCGGTTAAGCTCCTGGAGGGAAAGTGTGGGGCACAATGACGATGCTGGGTCCCCTCCGATGTGATCTGGCGCTCTCCTCTCCTTCTCAGCCGTCGTGGGACCTACGAACCCCGACCCGGCAGCGCAGGTCGCGGCAGGTGGCCAGGCTGGCTCTGCAGGCCTCCATGCCGTCCTTGGGCCCGGGCGCCCTGGCCAGCAGTGCAGTGGCCCCTCGAAGAAACCCCACTGAAGTTTTTCTCACTGGAACATTCTGCCCTGGGCAACGGGGGATGGAGGAGGCGACGGCGGCGACGTGGAAAATAATATATTGTCACCTGAGCTGTGGCAGCAGAGGCAGGCAACTGGCAAGGGTGAGAGAGTTCTGGTTACCTAAGACCGGTGACTGTCCGAGGTGAGCCCAGTTAGTCACCGCGTTCATGCCTTCCGTACCTGCCTACGAATGAATACCTGCCTACGAATGAATACCTTCCGTTCTATGGCAAAGCTGCTCTGTTCATGGGGAAGGACCTGACGGGAGTAGCACGGGAAGGAGCCATGGCCAAAGGTGAGGAGGAGGAAGGTAGGTAAAAGGGAGGTGACAAGGTAAAGTAAGGTGAGGTAGGTGAGCCAAGGCAGGCAGGGTAAAGGTAAGGTAGCAGCAGGTCGGCAGGTACGTATCCCTGCGCTTGGGCGTCCCTAGCGTCTTCCTTGCCTGCCACGCAGCTGGACTGCCATCCACAACCGGGAGGCACGCACTACCTGCCTCCACTACCTGCCTCAGTGGAAGGAAGGAGCGCAGCGGGTGGCAGCTTCTCCTGCCATTGCCGCACTGTTGGTGCATGGCTGCACCTGCCCTGCACCTCTAGGAGGTACCTAAGTAGTAAAGTACGTATGGCTGGCTGGTTGGCACCTGTGACCACTGACCTGCCTGACTTGACCCGACCTGAGCACAGCACAGCACAGCACCTCCTCCACCAGGTTTCGTCCGAAGTGCCAAAACCTCCTTTGACCACCATCTCAACACGCCCTGACAGTTCACTACCACAATCCACCTTCCATCGTAATATTCTTCTTTCTCGACCGCATCTCTACTGCAACTCTCGACCCCAAACAATTCCCCCATCGCAACTTCCAACTCGTCAGCCTTGATTGCCGATCCGCACCGACACGAACGCCTTCCGCACTCTGCAGCGCAGCCCGATTGGAGCCCATTCGGTCTCCATCCTCCACCGACCGGATTGGACTGGATTGGACTGACGACAGCCGACTGACTTGACACCGTCCTCGACACCACCACCTACCTCACCTCTCTTCTCTCAATACCTCGCCTTCCCACTTACCTACCACACACCAACACCACTACCACCACTGCTCCTGCCCTACTACTCATCGTGTAACGTACAACTTCAGCCTGCCGTCGATCGCCTGCCTCGACCGCCCACCCGCCAAATAAAACCCATCCCTTCATCTCCTCCACCCGACTGGTGCAACACCATCGCGCGACTCCCTTCCACTCGGTGGATCGAACCCCCCTACAATCTGCCCATGCAAATATCATTGCCCACGGCTTAGTATCGATACTTTTCCACAGCACTTCTCGGATGCGCCTCGCATCATCACACTGCGATGGCACTCCAATATACCGCAGAGTTCCTTGTTCATCTGCGCGAATCACCACTATGCGTCAAGCCGCCTAACCTGCCACCCGCAGAGGATTGGATGGGGTATGCTTCCGCCAAACCAATCCCTCTTCACCATGCTGCCTTCTCTAACCCGCTCAACAGACCACCTCCCGACAACACTCGCACCCAGAACAACAACACAAAGACCACCGACAACCGAAGAAGCCACGATAACCCCCTCCTCGACCAGACGAATCGCCGCCCGGCCACTGACCGACACGCCCCCCGAAACAGCGCAAGTATGTCACCTGCCATCCCCGCCTCGCTCTCTCACGAGCGCTCTTGACTGCAGTTGCTGACCCATCCTTCAATCGCAGACCCAGACGAGATCATCCTTGGCCCCCCGCGAACTGCCTTTGCTTCGGCAACCCTGCGCAACAGCGGTGGCAAGCCCTTTGAGAACGACAAAGACCTCAAGAACGCCGATTCCCCAGGCCGCTTCAATTTCCGCAACCGTAATGGTGATACCCCCGAGCCTGAGCGATTCCGCGACTCGAGAAACAGCAACTTCCGTCGTCGTGGCGACAATGATCAGGACAATGAGGGATGGAGCACGGTGAAGCCCCGCAAGAGCTTCGGACATGAGGGCGCTGAGCGCTTCCATGGTCGCATGGGTGCCGGTGGTGGCGATAGGCTCCCCAACGACAGGCGAACCCGTGACCGCGATGCTGAAGGCAACAGAGAGCGACCCCAGCGCAACCTTGACCACCATGAAAAGGACAAGGACCACGACGAGGCTGAACCCCGACCCCGAAATGGCCTTAGCAGGGGCAAGTCGGAGCCCTGGTTCAAGAATGATACCCCCGCTGCCAGTGAAAAGCCTCCCATGACGGCTCGCGAGCGCATCGACCGCGCCAAGAGCTGGAGAGATCGGGACCGGGATTCTGCGCCGCCTGAGGAGAAGCCCAGCGGCCGTAACTATGAGCGTCGCTGGGACCGTGGTGATCATCGGGCCGAGCGCGAGCCTGAATGGTTCGACGAACCGGCTGGAGAGAAGGCTGGAGGCCATACCGAGGAGGACTTCAAGAAGTTCATGGAGAGCATGAAGGCAAGCCGTAAGGCCCCGGCTGAGGACAAGGCACCAGCTCTCGCTGAAGCTGCAATCAAGGCCGAGCAACCAGCTGTCGCATCGGCCCCTGCCGTCGAAATTGGCCCCGATCAATTCTTCCTCAAGTTCGCTTCGACCGCTGGACTTGATGTTGCTGGCTCCCCGAGTGAGCCTAAGAAGGAAGCTCCTGCCGCCAAGCCCAAGACTGGAGGTGGTAAATCTTCTCGCTTCACGTCCTTCTTCAACGCTCCTCAGGAAGACCCTAACCGCAAGCTTCACACTGAGCCACCAACTCCGATGGCCGGCCTGCCAATTGGCGGCCCCAGCATGCCTGGTCAAGCCCACGACGGAGAGAAGGAAGCTTTCCAGGCACTGCTCATGAAGCTGCAGCGGTCCAACATTCAGTCCACGCCTCCTGCCCAGCAGCCTTTCCAGGAGCCTCCCTCGCTTTCCCGCGAGCAGACTCACTCCAGCGCTGTCGCGTCTCCTGAGCCCTTCCAGCAATATGGTGGAGAACGTCCTCCAAACGTTCGTCCTCCTATGCCTCAAGGCTCCATGTCCATGTCGGATATCCTTGCTCCCCGCCCCATGATGCCCGGCCAGCAGCCTGCTGCGCGCCAGGACCAGTTGCTGCAAGAACTTGTCGGACAGCGTCACCAGGCGTCTAGCTCAGGATCTGGCAGAATGGAGCCGAACCAAGGCCGCAACCTCAGTAACACTGAGTTCTTGATGAACCTGATGAGAGCTCAGCCCGAGCCTCCTCGCACCGAGCAGCAACTTCTCATGCGCATGCCGCAACCTCAGCGTGCTGCTCAGATCCCCCACGCTCAAGAGCGTGAGCCCGATTTTATTCAGGGCGGCCGTGGCTCTCAACGCCAGATGCGTGGCCAAGCTCCCCCCGGCTTCATGGATGATGGCTTCCATCACCCCGAGCCCGAGGCCCGCATGCAGCCTACGCAAATCCTCCAGCGCCCTCCCCCGCCTCCTGGCCTTGACCAGATGAACCCCAACTGGATGCAAGGTGGCGGACCTGGACCTATCCCCCCTCCCCAACAGCGATCCATGATTCCCCCTCCCGGCCTTGCTGGTGGCCCGGGTCGCAACCACCCCATGGGCGGCATGTTCCCGCCCAACTTCCCTCCTGGAGCTTTCCCACCCGACGGAATGGGTGGTCCTCCTTCTCGCAACATGCCGCCTCCTCCGGGCTTCTTTGGCGGCCCTCCTCCCGGATTCATTCCACCTCCTGGCATGCCTGGCTTCCCTGGACCCCCGGGACCTGAGGCGCATGGCTTTCCCTTCGACGGACGTATGCCTCCTCCGGGCGCCGCGCAGGCGTTCCGCAGGCAGTAAACCAACCTGAAATCAACCTCGGCTTTAACGTAAAGCCGCACTGTCGCAGCACATCAATTGCTGCATCTACCTTGTCTGAGTCTGCAGCAAACGTCCAGATGTGTTTCCTGTGAGGAACAGATTTGAACCAACACTACAACAAATGTCGGTACGAGCGACCTCTTGCTCGTCGAATTGCTCAACTACCAGCAAACCTCATCTCTAATCCTCCGTAATATTGCCTCCCTAGAAGAACTAGGGTGGCCGATCTCTTTTGAGCCCATTGGTCTCGTGTCCACAAAGCACAATGTCTTGCACAGCAAACACGCTTCATGGTCGCGAAACACACAATATCAGCGCGGGGCAACAGCCTGGCCCCGCTCATGACTTTGATGGTACTTTCGGCTGGAAAGTAATTGAGAACAAAAACCGGATTGATGAATTTCCGGAGGAGGATGGGAAAGGAGGCGTTGGATTCTCTACCATGGTAGATATGAATGAAATGAAATGGATGTCTTGTTCCCTCGCTTCCATAACATTGTCCTGTTCTGATTGCCTGTGATGAGAGTGCCTGATGCGTGACGACCTTTGTGTTTCCTTGAACATGCTATTAAATGAAGCAGCTGCCTCTCTTGGGAGCCTTCTTTGTTAGCTCAGCTTTCAACAAATCACAAAGTCATGACTTGAAATGAGAGTTTTCCATGTAAGCAATACACCCTCAAGAGTGACGAGGACTTGAGGGCAGTAGAATAAGTCCTTTTTTTCCTGTTCTTCTCACGTTCCAATACCAATTCTCCAAATCACAACATGAGTGGCTATGCTGATCCAGGTTCTACGAAAACAGCCTTTGAGATGATGGTGCGCGTGGACTTTTCACCTCTCCTTTTGTCTAGATTATCTTTGATAAACTGCACGCACATTCTGCTTCTGATGACGCTGATGAGTAATTTGAACAGTTCGTCACAGCTACACAAACACATGAGACGGTGAGAAAAGAAGGTGTCAAAATGTATCGTATAATTGTGTGTTTACTCCTTACATGAACGCGCGCGTAGTTTCAACACCACAGAAACGCCACGCTACCAAGGACGACAGGGAGACTGCGTGTCTTTTTGCTTTTGCATCCTGAATTTGCTTGCTTCTCTTTTAGCTCTTGTCCTTGTGGCCCTTCTTCATTCCCAAAAAGTTGCGCTTCTTCTTCTCCTTCTCGCCCTTATAGGGCTTTCCTCCATCCGTCGGCGCTGGCGAGGCTGCCCCGTTCGATACCGGCGAAGGCTGGTTGAGGCTCATTTGGCTCATTTGAGCCGTCGGCGGCGCGACCGGGCGCCCAGGCAAGCCGCCTGTCGGGGGTGGCCTCCGACCGCCAGCGGGCAGACCTTGCTGTGGTGGTGGCGCCATGCCGGGCCCAGGGCGGTTAGCCATGGGATTCGGCGGCGGAGCTGGTCGCTCGTAAACCCATGCGGGAGCGCGGGGTGTCGGCCGCTCCATGGGAATATCAAGTGCGCGCTTATCCTTGGTGAGATCACCTACTTGGCGGATGAAGAGCTGAGGAGTGAGCATGTGGCTTGTCGCCAGGAAGATGTCCTTGCTCTGGCGGGCAGACACCTCATAACATGCACGGCTCTCACTGAACGTCGCACCGCCGGCCATGAAGACGATGAAGCGTTGCCTGTTTTCCGGCGGTCGGCGTCCTGATGATGCCCAGTTTGGCCTACCTGCACGAAGCGATCCCTGCTGCGAAGCCAAAAGGTCCTCATTAGGGTCCAATGGCGGTTTCACATAGGGGAACGTCGTCTGATCCAGCGTACCGCGGCAGAGCTCTTCCAACATTGTCTGCATCGCGGTTTCGAAGCGAGAAAGCGAATATTCTTCGCTGACCTCTGCAGACTTTGTGTTCTTCGGGAATAGAGGCGGCGGGGGAGGTCGGGTATCTTTCAAAGCATGGACGGGACGTCCTCCCAACATTTCGAGGTTGACCACCACCTCGCCGTCTCTTTGTGGAAGACCACAGTGTGCCAGAAGTCGGTTGATGTCCTCCTGAATGACGCCATCGCGGTACATGACATAAAGCATGATGAGGCGCAATCGGTCACTGGGCGTAACGGCATCATCGTCCAAGAGTCGCACAACCTGATCCAGGATGTTCTTGGGCTTCTTAAAATCCTCGTCCAAGCCGGTCGCAAGACTTTGTTCAACAGAAGCGATATCCGGCAACTTGTGATGCTGGAAAATGTTCATGGCTTCTTGCGCCATGTTCAGGTGAAGGGAGTAAGCCTCCTTCATTTCCTGGAACTGCGGCAGGCCAGCCAACATGTCTCTGATGGCGTTCAAACTCGTCGTGTCCTGTTCGTCGTTGACGAAATGAGGGTTGGCCTCCAAGAACTTTCTGAAGTCTCCCATGAGCTTGTCGATGGTGTCCTTCATGTGTCGGTGTCGGTTGTCCACCCATACAGTGTCTTTGTCGGACAGCTCCATGTCCTTTTCCTCCACGTCTGCCGTTCCTTCGTTGGTGACCATGTGGTATGTAACCTTGTCGCCGTCTTTAATATCCAAAAGGTCGTGGGCCATTGCCTGGTAGGTGAACTCGTGTACCAGAGGGGCCATCAAATCCATCGATCTGTCCGTAATGATAAGGGTACCCGTCGGTCTCGAAGTTTGCGGCGGGAAGTTCTGGTTCCATTGCGCATATTCGTCCAACTCCTCTTGAACGAAACGAGCAAGATGAGCGCAGAGCACGCTAGCCTCGTGAAGGGGGTTCTTCGGTCTGTAATAACGAACTTTCGGGTATTCGCCCAGAGTGACGCAGACGCCGGTGATCTGGTTGGGCTCGTGAGCCAAGTGCACAGCTTATGGTGTCCCAATCAACCTACCTTTTGCGCGAGAATCTTCATGTGACGTGCAACCAGGTTGTTGCACCCGGGGTGAAACAGGATCGGGAAGCTCCAAGGGTCTCTAAAGGTAACGAGGTGCGACTCGCGGGGGAAGAAGTCGATCGATAGGGTCTCGAAACCGGCGATGCTCTGTTTGGCGCCCGGGCAATTGTCAATCAGGTGGCGGACTCGGGGCTCAAGAACACCGATCCAGACCAGGAAAGACTTCTTGTATCTGCGTCGCTCGATATCGTTGACGAGGATCTCGGCGATGTTCTCCTTGGGGGATAGGATGTAGATGGCGTCCATCTCGGGGTTCATGTCCCTCTTTTGTTCGATGCGCTCAATGTCTGGGGGCAGAGGTCAGGCAGGGCTCGTCGCAAAAAGACAGGGCGGGCGGATCATGGAGCAGCATACTGGCGATATTGTGGTTGAGGATGTCATCTTCCTTGACGACATTGTCAATGACTCTCTTGGAGTCTTCGTCGAGTACTAGGACTTTCCACTGCAGGCGTCGTTAGCTTCGGGTGGCTTGTTGGGGATGGATCTAGAGGAGGGGTAGCTCACGTCGCCTCGAGTGATGTTCTTGATGGTGTCGATGACAACTATTTGGAGGAATTAGTTCCTGTACAGAGTTGCGGCAGCGGCGCGCAGGGGAGATCAAGCCGATCATGAGATAATGCATACCATCGTGGAGCTCATGAAGCGTGGAAGCACCCATCGTGGCGACTTGCCGCGTGGGCAGTGGCTCGAGGCAGGATGCTGAGCGGGCGGGCGAGGTGAGTCGCGGTCGCTACAAGGCGGATCGTCGTGAGCTCGCACGCGGTGCAGAGCGACGAAGTGGTTGCAGTGCGCAGGTCGGCAGGCTGGTGTGAGGCAAGCAGGTTGACGGGTTGACAGACGGACGAGGCGAGGCTGGAATGCGCGGTGCTGCGCTGGGTTGCTGCGTGGGATTCGGTGGTGGCAGGAGGATGGACGTCCGGGCGAGGAGCGAACGGGTCTCTGTCCAACTGGTAGAGGTTGTGATCGTCAGTGTCTGTGTCGCTGGCGTGGATTGTCTGTTTCTGTTGCGTTGCGGTGTCGAGCCAGCAAAGCAGACGTTTCTTTGGTCTGGCGGGGTTTCAAGATGGAGGGAGAACCGGTCACAGCGGTGGGACCCTCAATGCTCCGGACCAGCAGCAGCGACGAGGCAGGGTCAGGTCCGGTAAGGTGCTATGCCGTCGGGGCGATTCCTGCACGTTCTGCGAAAAGGTAGGGGAGGGTGGTCTAAAGTATCTTCTCAGATAGTGGTGGTGGGTGAGGTGAGTAAGGTAAGGTAGGTGTACTAAGTATGCACCTGCGGCAGTACACACCTCGAGGTCAGGTAAGGAAGGTCAGGTCAAGGTCAGGTAGCAAAGACGGGCACAGAGCAAGGAAGGTGTCCCGGTGAGGATACCTTAAGGATAGGGTGACCTGATTGCAGCAGCCGCGCTACCGCTACTTGCCCACGCGCTTCAAATTGAGTATGCAGCCGCCGGATTGGCGGGGCCACCGAACAGGCCCCTCGCTAGAGTGGTCCCTATGCAATTCGATTTAGCGGCTTTCCCCCACCTTCGGCCCCCAAAACCAGAACGAATGAGGTCACCGCCTTTGCATTTCTCACAATCACTCCTTTTGAAGAATTTAAGCAATACAGTCGGCCTCGGGAGATATTCCTGTCCTCGCATGGATGATGCTGTTTACACCCGACAGTCCCCTGTATGTTTCACGACGGTCCGCTACCGATGTTCTCTCGATCATTCTCCTTATGCTTGATTGCTATTGTATGAATGAAACTTGCACACATGGGAGTCTGCCCTCCTCCCCTAGCCCGCCACTTTCCTACTCTACGCTTTGTCTCCTCAAAGCTAGAAATCGGGCACAATCGCCGGTCCGCCCACCGCCCACCGCCCACCGCCCCGATCGGCACGGCACTGACACCGGAGCCGGAGCACGGGTCTAGCTCCGGATTATTTCATGTCGTTTCCCTCCACTACCGTCAAACTGCCGGAATTGTAGATCTCGTAGAAATCCATTACCATATTTACCTAGCGAGGTATCCTTCTTTTGCGGCATGGCTCATAAAGAAGCACCGGCTTGCAAATGCCAGCCAAAACCTACTTAGAGACCGTTCGTTCACTGCCGATCTGCTGATGTGATTACATCTTTCATCGCCCTCTTAATTCATGAGACCGCCTAATTTTCCTGTGTACTTGATTACTCCTGTCGGAGACGACGAAAGTAACAACGACGACGACGACGACGACGACGACGATAGAAACGATGACGATAGAAGCGATGACGATAGAAGCGACGAAGATAGAAGCGACGACAGTAAAGTAGATTATAGCCACCGGAAAAGTAGTCGGTATAGCACAGGAAAAACAGGCGGTCTCTAATTCATATACCACCATGCGGACTCCTAGACTCACTCTCATGGCTGCACTAGGCAAGAGCGATGGTGCCCTTCCTATTGTTGATTGGGTAGTACTCGTTGGGTGGAGGACCAACCCCTCAGAATGCCTAACCTCACGTATCTCACAATCGTATCTCCTCCTTCCCTGTTAATCACCTCAACAGTAACAGCGACAGGAACAATAACTTTTCTGGTCCAATCTTCTGAGCTCAGTTCGCTATGGCCGAAGTGGTAGGACTGGTATCTGGCAATGCCAGTCTGGTCACTATGGCTACGCAGATCACCAAGCTCAGCTACAGCTACGTCGCTGACATTCGTTCCGCACACAGCACACAGAAACACTATCTTCGCGAGATTTCCGCTCTGACTGAAGTCCTCCTGCGAAGTGAAGAAGTCTCCCAGAACCTCGAGAAGGAGAATCTTGGACTCAGGCGATCAAACGACTTATCCGAGAGCGTCGTGGCAGAGTGCGCTCAAAAGTTGGATAAGCTATGCTCTGAACTTCGGAAGCTGTCGCCCAGCATATTCTGGCCGATTCAGGAGAAGAGTCTGAAGAACCACGTTGAGGATCTTCATCGTTTCCGGAGCATCTTCGCGGACTTCCTATCAGTGCAAACGCTTGCCGTCGCGACCGCCACGCATAGAGACGTCACACGCCTTGCCAACCACCAAGACCAGATAGACCTCCTGGAGTGGCTCAGAAACCCCAAGGAAACCTCCAGACCCGTCCCAAAACCCTTGCCGGGTACTGGAGCCTGGTTCCTGAGGTCAGAAGCTTACAAGCAGTGGACAGCTGGAAGCAAGCTACCGCTTCTCTGGTGCTATGGTCCTCCCGGAGTCGGGAAGTCGATGCTAGCGGCTGTAGCCATCCAAGACCTAGGCGCTCGTTCAAGCCCTTTCACGTTTTACATTACTTCTTCGACTTTGGAAATAGAGAAGAGCAAACCAGAGAAACAATCTGGAAGGATCTGCTGCGCCAGGTCATCGCGAGGGGAGATGCCACTACGATTCAGAAGCTCGTCAGTTTTCGAAAGGAGTTGGGTATACTTCGGCCTAGAAGTTCAAAAGACTTCTCCGATGCGTTGAAGATCGCCTGTGCCGACCAGCAGTTTGTCCTGGTTCTCGACGGCCCCGATGAGATGAAAAACCCGAAGGAGCTGAGAATCATTCTAGTCCCCTTCACTCATGTCAACTGTAGCATCCTGATTACTAGTAGATCCACGCCGGAGATGCGTTCTGCATTGAAACAAGAAACGACAATGGAGATACAGGCTAAAACTAATGACTTGAGGGCCTATATCGTCTCCAGGTTCGAGGAGTGCGATTGGGGTAATTTAATTAAAAATCACCCCGAACTGGAGAAAGAAATTCTTGAAAAGTCTCAGGGAATGTGAGTTAAGGCACGAGTTGGATGACTAGGCAACTTTAACAGTACATAGCTTCCTGCTTGTCCAGCTTCTCGTCGATCATCTCGTGGACCTCAGTAACGTCAAAGAAATGCGGAAGGCCCTGATGGCATATCCAAATCACCTTGAAGACGCGTTCGAATCAAGCCTTCAGAGAATCGAGGCCCAGTCCAAATCACACTGCACCCTGGCAAAACGGGTTATGGGATGGATCATCTCCGCCAAGAGGAAGCTTCAAATGCCGGAGCTCGCTCACGGGCTGGCTACCGAGGAAGGCATTGATGTGATTGACAAAGAGAATCTGGTACGATCGACGATGATCCTCAAGGTTTGCGGGGGACTTGTAGTTCTCCAGGGAAGTGCAATCAGTATGGTGCATACCACTGTGCACACTTGGTTGCGCAACCGCTATGAGGGTCTACATCATAAAGACCTCGCAGTATCATACTTTCGATACCTCACCATGAGTTCGTTCTTGAGTGGAGTTGCCCAAACATCGGAGGAAATGGACACACGATTGAGCATGTTCCCTTTTTTCTCCTACGCCGCTCAGAATTGGAGAAGGCATCTCGGCAAGGCAGAGGATACCAACGTTTCGAAGTCCATCAATCGGTTGCTAGATGATTCTGGACTTCGATCGGCTGCTTTCCAGGGCGCGCAGTACAACAGCAGCTTCAAATGCCCAGTCACCAGAGGGGCAGTGTTTGAGACTATGCCTCAAGGCCACTCAGCCCTACACTTTGCTTCATACTGGAACCTTCCAGAGGTGGTTGAGAGACTTCTGTTGAACGGCGGAAAAGTGAACATCACAAGACTTAATATTATTATATATTGCCACACCAAGCTCATACAATGTTTATCATTCATTCAATTGTATCGCTGAATCTGTCTATTGGGTATCATTCATCGACCAGTTCCAAGATATCGATCCATATCTTCGCTTCCATAAAACATCTGCCTCAACTTCTCAGATTTCTTCTTGTCCTCGTCTGCCTTCTTCCGACATTGCTTCGCATCCAGCGTCTGGGGCTTCTTTTTCTCGATTCTACCCGCCAACGTCTTCGGAATCTCTAATCCAAGACCGTACTTGTCTTCCTTCTGCTTAGTCTTGATAGGGTATTGCCTACCCTGTCCCGCCGCACCCAGGCCCTTCCGTGAATCTGGATCCCAGCCGTGCGATGAGAGGTACGTCAAGCCCATGCGCGTGCGGTCCAGTGCCGACGGTGGATGTGAGTGTGTCAGGCATACTTGATGAGCGATGGATGCTTCGTGTTTCTGCCTTGCGGTGGCATCTTTTTTGCCGTTCGCTTCCTTACTTAGTTGCTTCACGGCTTCCTCTTCGAGGGGCAGATCGCACACGGCGCATACATGCGCCTCCGGTACTGGATTTTCCTCGGACTTCTTGGGAAGAACCAGGCTGAGATAGAAGTCACCTATTGATGAGCCCGATTTTGTTGTCTTCTCTGGTTTGGTCGTACTTAGTGTCGGGTCTGAAGCCTTGACGAACTGGATAGGCTTCCGCGGGATGCCTGCGCCAAACGGCTTTTTGTGGTGGAGCGGCACATCGTAGTCTTCATCGTATTCTTCGTCAACATCGTCTGACCTCTGCATCTGTGCCGCCATCGCACTAATGAGCCTCACTCCTACCCAGATATCAGTCCTGGCGGTGATTAAAAGCAGTGGACTTGATTGCGGTGATGCCGGGGTTTTGTAAGATGAGTGGGTGTTGATGGAGAAGAGGTCGTTGAGGCCAATCCAGATTGAAGCCTAGGGGCGAAGGTTACATAAGCCGGCTGATGTGCCGTCCATCCATCCCCTGCAGCTGCCGGTAGGGGCGGGCCTGCCCCTGCTGCAATTCGGAGGCTTCCCCTGACTCCCCTGAGGGCACGTCAAGAATTCCACTTTTTCTAGAAACCAAGGAAGCCCAGCAAAGTGGCCTCGTCATAAGCCTTTGCCTAGCTTCTACAACGAAGCTTTGGGTGCGATGCTCGACTTCTGAACCCCTTACGAACATCCTCACCTCCGAAAGCCTGCTCGTTCGCCATGCCTATCGACTACATCGGCTACGTCTTCGCCGCCGGGCCCCCGGCCTGGGCCGTCGAGAACTGGTGGTTCATCCTCAAGACGACCACCGCCGTCGCCGCTCTCACCCTCATCAAGCTGTACTGCTCCGGCGCCAGCAACCCCTCGGAGCGGGACATGCACGGGCGGGTGGTCATGATCACGGGCGGCACGTCAGGCATAGGGGCCAGCACCGCCTACGAGCTCGGCCGGCGTGGCGCCCAGCTCGTCCTCCTTACGCACACGCCCGTCTCGGACCCCTTCCTCGTCGAGTACGTCGGCGACCTGCGCGCCCGCACCGGCAACGAGCTCATCTACGCCGAGCACGTCGACCTCGCCTCCCTCCACAGCATCCGCAAGTTCGCGACAAAGTGGATCGACAACTCCCCGCCCCGCCGCCTCGACATGATCGTCCTCTGCGCTGCCACCGTCACCCCGCCCGGCACCGCGAAGCCGCGCCTGACCCCCGAGGGCCTCGAGGAGACCTGGATGGTGAACTACCTCGCCAACTTCCACCTGCTCTCCATCCTCAGCCCGGCCATCAAGGCGCAGCCCTTCGACCGCGACGTGCGCATCCTCTTCACGACGTGTCCCTCCTACATCGGCTCGCCGCCGCTGACCGACGGCGCCGCCCTGAGCAAGGCGGTCTGGTCGCCGGGCGCGGCGTACAAGCGGAGCAAGATGGCGCTGATGGTCTTCGGCCAGGCGTTCCAGAAGCACCTCGACGCGTACAAGCGGCCGGACGAGCTGCCGATGAACTCGCGGGTGGTGTTCGTGGACCCGGGATACGCGCGCACGCCGGGCATGCGGCGCTGGCTGTCGCGGGGCTCGCTCTGGGGCCTGTTTGTGTACCTGGCGGCGTACTTTGTGCCGTGGCTGCTGCTCAAGAGCCCCGACCAGGGCGCGCAGTCGTTGCTGTTTGCGGCGATGGAGCCGGGCCTGGCGCGCGGCAAGGGCGGGAGACTGATCAAGGAGTGCCGCGAGGTGGATTTTGCGCGGAAGGACGTCCATGACGAGGAGGTGGCGAAGAAGCTGTGGGAGGAGAGCGACAAGCTGATCGAGAAGACGGAGAAGGAGCAGGCGCTCGTCAGGGCGAGGCAGAAGGCGGCGGAGGAAGCGAAGGCCAAGGAAGCAAAGGAGGCTGAAAAGGTGCAGGAGGTAGAGGACCTCGTCAATGCCATCAAGAAGGGCAAGGAGGCGCAAAAATCCAAGGGCAAGAAGAAGACCAAGAAGGACACATGAGGGAACCGGCGCTCAAAATCATATTAGATCCAATTAATGACAAAATATTAGACCTATCATTGTCTGGCCACGTACTGAACGTGAATTTGTTGCTGCAGACCCGTGTGTCGCGTGCCTCGGCTGCTCACCCGTTCCCCAAAACCCGCGGCCCCACCGAAGCCGAAGCGTCGGCTTTCTCAGCGAGCTATCGCACGGCCGATCCGGGGGGTTGGGTTGGGGTAAGGGGGGCGTAACCTTTCCCCGCAACATTAAAGATGACGACAGACCCTATTAAGGGGTGCCTAATGCCGGCGTCAAATTCCGGATCATCTTAGATTCAACATATTCACATACATGATTGACGAGGGAACATGTCGAATCCTGCAGCCGCACCGCCAGCCATGACGAACCACACCGCAACGATACCGCAACTGGCTCCGCCTCCGCCACCGCTGCTGCATCTCCAGCCACCAGCGCAGCACAACGCGTCCGTCAGGCATCCCGTCTTTTTCACCGAGAAGCTGCGAAGGCCGCCATTAGTCTTGAGCCCCGGGATGGGGATGAGTCCCGTGGCGCACGGGTATGTCTACCAGGATGGGAGGAGGGCGGACGGGACGTCGGGGCCGAAGTTGTGAGAGGTTTCGATGAGTGATAAGTAAGGAGCGATGTGTGTAAGTCATTCCAGGATGCGAAGAGGACGTTGCCAAATTGACTGTGTCGTTAGATTGAGCCGGGAGTCACGCGTCGTCATCTAGAGGCCTGAGAGTGGGTGCCATTCACCCGGCTATGGATCGGGGGCATCTGGGAGTTGATTGAATGATCAAATGGAGTTGATGAAGAGCCGTTGATTGTATCGTGGCCCCGTGAGCTCACACGGCGATGCTCATACAGAGTCTACGTTTGGCGTTGGGGTTGGGTCTGGTTATTCTCACATGTAAACTCAACCAGTCGTTGTTCTTGCCACATTCGTCTTCCACGTAGTCCGCGTCCTGTCATCTCAAGCAGGCGCATATCTGTCGTAGGAGCGCTCGGTTTCTCGACCTTTTTTTTTGTTCGAATGCAAAGATCGGACCGACTTTCTACCGTATTTCTGTCGGCTTGTCTGTTCTATATGGATGCCTATTGCGCCAAGTCGTGATGAGCCCACAGGGACGTGGACACTGCCAATCTTCTTGGGAGCAACCCGCGTAATCCATGTGTTCAGTTTGTTTTGGTGTATCTGCCTAAACCTGGGCCATGTTTACCTTGCACATTTGTAGCATTGGCGCAGTATTTCACTTTCTAGGTCACACTCGTACAACTCCCATGATGCAAGCTTCAATATAGTAAGCATAGAAAATCATGTGTATTCGGATGTGGTCCAGCAAAGCCACAAACGACAGTCCCAGGGAATCATTACTACAGGTAGCGCCCCTCGAGGTGGTAATAAGGATAAAAAAGAAATTAGAGCCTCCCTGTTTTGCTTCCCAAAAAAAGTAGTGTTGCTTCCCGTTTTCGCCATTCAAACCATTTGCCCAATCTGGAGAGGATACAGTTCTCTAACACCATCGAAACAAGCGCCATTCACCCCGCGCATACGCGCCACCGCGCGCGTTACCACCCTCTTACCCCTCAGTTTTTCACTGCAATCACAATCGCCATGACGATGAGGATGACGACCAGCGCAAGCAGCGCCATCAGCTTGACGTTCTTCCACCACATCTTCCTCTTGAGGCCGCGGCTGCGCACGCGGAACTCGCGCGCGCTGCCGCCGAGGCGGTCCGTCTTGTCGACCAACAAGTCGATGCGCTCGCCGCGCTCGAGCAGGCCCTCGATGTTGCGGGTCATGATGCCCCTGACATCGTCGATCTCGCGCTGGACGTTGGAGATGGCGTCGTCCTTGCCGCCCGAGGTGGTACCGTAGTCGACCATGAACTTCTTGAGCTGGCCGTTGTAGCTGGCGGCGCCGTAGTTGGGCAGCTCGGCATAGTCGGTGGAGTCGGCGGGGAACTGCTCGAGGAAGCGGCGGCGGATCTCGAAGAGGAAGCCGAAGGGGATGCGGCGGCCGAGGGAGGCGTCGGCGATGACGAGGAAGGTGAGACCGCCGGCGGAGGGGTGGTCCGGGTGGTCGGAGGGGGCCTCGGCGATGTAGTGGATGTGGTGGGAGCCGTGGGTGTAGGTCAGCTTTTGGGGGCTGCTGTGCTCGATCTTGGGGAGGATGAGGGAGGCGAGGGAGGAGGTCTGCGAGGAGGCCGACGTCGTGCATTCGGAGAGGATCGTGTTGTTGTGCGCTATGCACGAGCTGGATTTGATTGTTGTCAGCTTGAATGCTTGGTGGTAGCTGTGTCGCAGGAATTGCGGTTGTCGGCGACTCACTAGAGCAAAGGGGTGATGGGCGTAGACGAGGAAGCCATGGCGATTGATACGGGGCGACCCGGAGAATCCTTGGACGTTATCTTGAGGGTATTCTTCGAGCTTTGTAGTGCCGCGAAAAGGGTCCAGGCAGCTGTATTCGATGCGACGAGGTGGGATGCGTACGTAGGTGGTGGACAGGAAGCGAGAGTCGGGCGTCGGGGAACGGGACGGTGATGGGCGCTTGTCGCAGAACGGCAGCGACGACGAGGGAATGGAATGCGTGATGACGACGGTCAATCGGAGGCGGATGCGCTAGACCGAAGTGGGGCGCTCCATAACCTTTAACCCAGGGCGAATCAGGGCGCTGGTTGATAAGGCAGAGCGGCAGGGGGCGCATTGGTTATCGCTCCCAAAATTTCCATCACCACTTCGTACGCGGGTTCCATTCAGTCAGAGCTTTCTGGCGTGGAGGCGAAGGTGGGCTGTCTGCCGTCTCCGATTTTGCCTCTCTGCACCAACAACATCAACAAACCGCGGCATGTTCTTTGCATGTCGCCGGCCATGCTTCTTTGGGTAGAAGATAAGCCACCATGAGAGCGATTTTGCGAAGCGCGACTCTCTCCGCGGCGAGGAGTCGTGTTGCGCCCAGCCATGGCTTCGCAACGTCTTGCCCGGCCGCATTCAAGGTAAGAAAGACAACGCACCCTATCATACTCCTTCATATTCTCCAGGCTGACTTGCGAGAAGCAATCGCTTCCGAATCTAAGATCTGCCCGGCAACATAATAAATACCAGGCCAACAGGAGCAAGAACTATGAAACTTTCAGGAACATGATCCTCTCCCAGTTCAACGTTGTCTTGAGGAACATGGGCCCCTACTCGGATACGAACCCCGAGTACCGCGACTTTGGCATCAAAAGCGAGAACGGGCTCAACAACGAAGTTCAGCTATTCCGCGAGACGATTCAGAAGTCAATACACATGGCGAACAAGGGCTCGACGTTGCGAAAGGAGAACCCTCTGTTCTGGACGCTGCGGAATGCATTCGTCAGATCAGACGTCAAGGGACTTACATCAGAGCTGAAGTACTCGTTTCAGAGCTTCATGATGCGTCAAAAGTTGACCAAGGTGACACCGAGACAGAAGAAGCTGGCCGACATGCGCTTCCCCATGGAGTGGTTCCCCGCCACGCGCGCGATGCAGCGCACCATCCACCTCCACGTTGGACCGACAAACTCCGGGAAGACATACCGGGCATTGAAGGCGCTGGAGAACGCAAAGTCGGGAATCTACGGCGGGCCTTTGCGTCTGCTGGCCCATGAGATCTACATGCGGTTCCAGAACAAGGGGAAGCCATGCGCCATGGTTACGGGAGAGGAACAGCGCATTCCGGAGGACGAGGACAACTACTTTATTAGCTGCACCGTCGAGATGACGCCGCTGAACCGGATGGTCGACGTGGCGGTCATTGACGAAATCCAGATGATTGGCGACATGGATCGAGGCTGGGCATGGACGCAAGCTTTACTCGGCGTCATGGCTAAGGAGGTCCACCTCTGCGGTGAAGAGCGTGTTGTCGACCTGATCAAGTCGATCTGCGCCAGCATCGGCGACGAATGTATCGTCCACAGGTACCAGAGGTTGAGTCCACTCGAGACAATGAAACAGAGTCTCGACAACGACCTGTCCAAGCTGCAAAAGGGAGATGCTGTCGTAGCATTCACCCGAGTCAACCTGCACGGTCTGAAGAATGCCATTGAAGAGAAGACCGGGCGACGCTGTGCTATTGTCTACGGCTCCCTGCCCCCTGAGACTCGAGCACAGCAAGCCGCCCTGTTCAACGACCCGGACAACGACTACGACTTCCTCGTGGCCAGTGACGCTATCGGCATGGGTCTCAACCTCGAGATCAAGCGAGTCATCTTTGAAACCGCAACCAAGCACGACGGAACACAGTTCCGTGTGTTAAACACGTCTGAAATCAAGCAGATTGGCGGCAGAGCAGGCCGATACAAGACTGCCAGACAAGCCACCACCAGCGACGCCAGCACAGATACGACCGCAGTCGCTCCAGTAGAAGAGAAGAAGATGGGCTACGTGACAACACTAGACCCTGACGACTTGCAGACGATCCGGAAAGCCTTCCAAAACGAGGCCGAACCCCTGGAGACGGCGGTCATCCACCCGCCAGCCTTCGTCATCGAAAGGTTCTCCGAGTACTTCCCGCCCGACACGCCCCTCAGCTTTATCCTCCTCCGCCTGCGCGAGCTGGCCCCCGTCTCGGAGCGCTACTCCGTCCACGTCAACGAGCGGTCCATCGAGATCGCCGACACCATCCAGGAGTTCCCCATGACGGTCCAGGAGCGCATCACCATCCTCAACGCGCCCGTCAACAAGGACAAGGGCCAGAAGGAGATCGTGCGCGCCATCGCCAAGCGCATCGCCACGCGCCGCAACGGCGCGCTCTACGATATCAAGGAGATCCCGCTCGAGCTGCTCGACGCCTCCATCGACGACATTGGCCAGCAAGACGGCAGGAAGTACCTGCGCGCCATCGAGACGCTGCACCAGGCCATCACGCTGTACCTGTGGATCAGCTACCGCTTCCCGAGCATCTTCGTCAGCCAGACGCTGGCGTTCCACATGAAGGACTTCGTCGAGGAGAAGATTGCGCACTACCTGGCGACCAACACCGTCTTCCAGACCGACATGAACCAGCAGCTGCGCGACAACCAGCGCAGGAGGGCGCTGAAGAACCAGTCGGAGAAGGACAGGCTGCGCATGGAGCGCGACGAGCTGGAGGCCATCGAGAAGACCAAGGTCAAGGCGCCCGCTGTGGAGGTTGATTCGTGGGTTGAGCCCACGCCGGAGGAGGAGCCCCTCGTCGGCGACGAGAAGGAGTACGAGCAGCTCGACGAGCAAATTACGAGCGACGAGAACTGGGACAGGGTGGACGAGAAGCTGCACGACGCAGAAACTCACGACCGGAGAGAATCACCATCAGCCGGTTGAGATCCTCCTGTAAATCATACTGTAAAACCATCCATATAAATCACATAGACAGGGAGCGGACGAGTGGCACTCAACGGCGCAAAAAAGGGATGGGGACGTCTTTTGGGTACGATACGCAAGAACTGTAAATCAACGCTGGCCACATGAGGGAACAAGCGCCGCTCTAGAATAGAACATGTTCATGACACCTGCTCGCCTCCTTTCGTGAATGCGTTGCGTCTATCATGTTCGTTTGACGACAGGGGTCCTCCATTAAGCCGGAGGTGAGGTACCCCAAGCTCCAACACCCCGCACTCAAAGCCCAGGCGGCAGCGGTTACCTCACAGACCCCACCATACCTTCCGGCTCTTGGACCTTGGTCCTTGGAGGGGCAAACAGCTCTCCCACCCTTCAACCTACACCTCCAAGCTCGCCTTCACAACCCCTCGAAACCAGCTCTACAACCCATCGCAAACCCCCAGATAACAAACACTACACAGACGAAGAAAAAGCCGCGCAAAATGTCGTCCACAAACCCAGACCCCTCCGCCTCCGCCCCGGCCTTCATCCCTCTCGAAGCCAACCCAGAGCTCATGACGACGCTCCTGCACAAGCTGGGCCTGTCCCCCGCGCTCGCGATCCACGACGTCTTCTCCCTCACGGACGCCGACATGCTCTCCTTCATCCCGCGGCCCGCCCTCGCCGTGCTGCTCGTCTTCCCCGTCAGCGCCGCCTACGAGAGCCACCGCCTGGCCGAGGACGCGCTGCTCGAGGAGTACCAGGGCAAAGGGCCGCAGGAGCCGGTGCTCTGGTTCCGCCAGACGATCCGCAACGCGTGCGGGCTGATGGGGCTGTTGCATGCGGTCAGCAACGGGCCTGCGCGGGAGTATATCCGTAAGTTCTTCTCAACATCTGCTGCACGAGTTGAAAGAAACAGTTGTGCTGATTAATGCTTGTGTGGGAAACAGAAAAGCCTTCCGATTTGAACACGCTGCTCGAGAACGCTGAGCCCCTCGACCCCGTCGCCCGCGCACAGCTCCTCGAGAAAACGCCCGCGCTGGCCACGGCGCACCGTGAGGCGGCTTCGCAGGGCGCGACGGAGGCCCCGCAGGCGGCGGACGAAATCGATCTGCACTACGTCTGCTTTGTGCGCGGCAACGACGGCACGCTGTGGGAGCTTGATGGACGGCGCAAGGGACCTCTGGCGAGGGGGCAGTTGGAGGAGGGCGAGGATGTGTTGAGCGAGAAGGCGCTTACTTGGGGACCGTTGAAGTTCTTGGAGAGAGAGGGTGCCGATTTGCGGTTTAGTGCTGTTGCGCTGGCTGGTTCTATGGATTAAGCGGTATCTGGCTTGGAAAACGACGATGGCAGGGTGAGCTAGAGTGGAATGGTAAATCGGATATGGCGTTTAGGAATCGAGTTGACCAGGTCATGGCACGCAGTCTCACGCAAAAAGGCACACTCAGGTTGAATAGCATTGTTCGTTGTATTGGTACTAGGGAAAGACTATTCGAATCATAGGTATTTCCTCCTCATCCCATGCATTCTTGGGCCTCGGTGGGTGTCATCTACTCCTTCGGGGACTCGCAAGGTGGCGTTGGTGCGTGGTGGAGATCGGTTTTCTCTGGACACTTATCTTGACACTTGTCGACTGTCTTCTGGCCTTCGTCTTCTTGGCCCTGTCTCGGTACGTCGTCTCTTTGCTTCTCAGTCGGTACAACAGGGCCCAACTTCGAGAAATCAGAGGACGGCTTCCCGCGTTTCGAGCTCCGTTTCTGCACTCGCTGCGAATTTCGGGGCATTTTGCCACTTGTCGGCTTGTGTTCCTTCTGATCCTTGCGCGTATTGCGGTCTGGACGGACGTTTCCAGCTGCGGCAGAGTCCGACTCCGACTTGGACCCAGAAGCTGACAATGCCGTTAGATGTCAATCTCATCAACGGAGCTGTGGTGACTTACATCTCTGCAGGAGACCCTTGAACATTCGCGCCACCTTCTTCTGGGTTTCAAACTCCTCTCTGCCGATGGCTTTGAAAGTAGTGACTGCATCACCAGACGTCTCCTTCGCTCTGCCTTTGGCAGTCGTAAATACATCACCAGACTTCTCCCTCAGATCACCAGACTTCTCCTTCAGACCGTCAGACATCTCCTTCATACCGTCGCCGCCAAAAGTGCCGGGCATGGACTTGAACTCCGTAGAGGACTTCCTGTGGTGGTCGAAGAAGCCCTTCTGTGCGTCTTCAGCTTGTCTGTACTGTTCTTCAGACAGTTCATTGCCACAAATAGTCATCTCAGGGGCAGTGTGTGGCTCAGTGCTTTGGGGAGCTGAATCCATCAACGTATCGACAGCATGCTGTCTACCGCCAGCCCGGGAGGAAGGCTCCTCGGACGGCTTTCCGTCGAAGTTGTTGTCGTTGGAAGTCTCCACAGCGGCAGCAGGCTTGCTCAAAGTTAACTCGATGAATTGATCTTGGTCTTCCGTGGGAGTGGGCACTGGCTCGGTGTAACCAAAAGGGTTTTGACTGCTGTTGGCCTGGGTGGGAGGTCTGCTAGCAGCTGGCGTTGGCTTCTTCTTGCTGTCGACAAGGGGAGCACCGTCATGCTCGGTAAAGAAGGGGACCTAGCCCTGCTGTTTGTCTGGATGCTGCTTGTCGGGACCCTGGGGAGTCTGACCGGATGCTTGGGGGTTAGACATTGGTGTTAAAGGAATGTTGCGTGCGTGGTTCAAGAAGCGATGGGATTCAGAGGAGGCTCCAAAAAACGAGAAAAGAAATGTTGAAGTCGTTGTAGGAGTATTAGAGAAAATGTGTTGAATGTTGATGCAATTTGGGCAATGAATGCGCACAAGTCGAGGATGGAGGTCAGTTTTGTCGTCGAGAGGAATGGAATCCAACAGAGGCACACCGATACTTGGGGTTGCTTTCCGAAGGAGTACCTTCCTTCCACAAATGGAACCTTCACCTATTGCCTCTTTCCAATCCGTTTGGTGGTTGGGAGGCAGCCAGCCCCCGTGGGCTTGCCTTATTGATCCAAGCATCGCTCCTTCCCAGCAGCACTGTGCCCACGCAGAGGAAGCTGCATCCTCGATGCTTTACTTTTAACATGTCACTCCTTTCTGTTCGCAAGCATCTCCCGCGAGGAGTCTTGTCGGATTCTGCAGTCGACCTGAGGCCCACCTGCCCTGCCTACCTTACCTACACTGTACACACAATCAACTCGCCTTCAAGCATCACTCTGCTCCCACCCAGGAGCCGTCGACCAACTTCGGCTCCATGAAACGCAACAGCCCTAGAACCAACACATGCATCGGACTGCGCCACAGGAGACATCCGAATTTCAGGGAGAGACATTCACTTTTCTGCAGCAATCTGCAGGGGTACGCTCGTGGGTGCTCGTGGCTGCTCAGTTGCTCCGACTGTCCAGGCACGTGGCACGGCACATGGGAGGAAGCTGCCCCGACAACAAGCAAGCTGACGGCCGTCTCGATGGATTCCGGGGAAGCTCATAGCCATCTGGGACTACCTTCACGAATGGCGTCCTCAAAGACAGCTCATGTCCTTTTGACAGTGGCCGCCACCGAAGGACTGCCCAGACTCAGGCTCAATGATATTGAGCTTAGGGCTGAGCGGCCACACGACAGTCGTTCATGAGGCGGCGCCACGACACCTGCCTGCAACAGAGACTCGAACGCCCGCATGCTTTGGGACCAGACTGTCTTTGCGGGTGCTTCCTGACAGTATTCCTTGCATTCTTCAACCCCTCAAAGGCTCAAACCCTAACAGAGCTTGTCGGGCCGTTTGGTCGCGGAGTGAGCACTGGCTGGTTCGTCACGTCTCTGAAGCTTGTTTCCCCATAGACTCCGCAAACCAAGGACGACCTGCAAGACGAAGGACCCCTTCGCAACATCCCAAATCCCAAGCGGAGGGCGGCCACTACCTGCAGTTTGACAAGTCCGCTCGGACGCTGCAGTGTTCAACGTTTGGACGCCGGGGACACAGAGCACCGAGCACCGTCCGAGCGGCACCGGGGGAAGCGCTTGAATCTAAAGAGCCATGGCGGTCTTCACCGTTCAAGGAATGGCGGAAGAGACGGCGCGTGGTAGCGCCCTTCGTCTGCCCATTTTCTGGCCTTTCATCGTTGGACCCAGGGTCTGGATGATTCTCTTCCAAGTCATCCTGGCCTGGCCAGTCTCGGTCATCGAGACAGAAGGAAGCAGGAGGGGTTGGCAGGAAAAGCAACGTTGCTGCCCCGCGCCCCGGGAGGAGGTTGTTTGTCGTGCGGCCGGATCACTCGCATAATGAGGCCATGGCTGGAGGTAAGCCAAGATCCGAGCCGGGAGGTCCGAGAAGAACGGTCAGGGGGTGGAAAAGCGGAGGCATTCAGAATTCGGATAAAGCCTGACGACGGTGTTCCACGTGGTGGCTGATCGCCGCTAACAGGCCTACCAGGCTAGCCGGATCGTTGCGTGCAACGCTGAATGCTTACCTGCTTCCGGCAAAATCCAGTTGAAAGCAAAGGCCGAGACGAAACTGCCCCCTGAGGCGAGGCGTTTGCCGTTGAGCGATTTGGAAGCTGGCGGGGAGAGGCCGCCCTGCTCCGTGCTGCAACGGACACCTACAGCTGGCAAGCAGGCTGACGGGGGAGGCCGAGGAAAACTTCGTTCGTTTGTGCGCCCAAGAAACCTGCGGATGCGGGATGGACTCCGATGAGAAGTGATGAGACGCTTTGGCGCGGAGTAGACGTTTCTCAGTGGATGCTGCTGCAGGCCCGACCTGCATTCGGCCGAAAGATGACGGAGGTTCTTGTCGCGTCATGTCGGTGGCTGGCGGTCCATCCTCGACCCTTCGAGACAACAATTCCTTCAGATAACGAGAGCCAAACCAAGCTGGTACGTCTGTGAAGATGATATGATTCGTGGGCGAGTATGTTTGTCGCAAGAGAAGAAAAGCAGAAAAAGGAACAACACTGAGAAGTTACGAACGAAGTGACTAAGCATCTGCTGTGGTCGTCCGAACTTCATGCATCCAACTCCGCCGAATTCCTAGGAGTCCGTCAACAGAACATCGGTTTAATCTCCTGTCGAGTTGCACCAGCTCCATCGTGCTGAGTCAATGCTGCAAAACATGGTACCGCTCCGGAGCTACGAGGCTATTCTCGGCCACCTCGTCTCTCCGTCGACTCAGCTGGGACCAACGGGTGGCACACCGCGACCAACCGACAAGCGCTGCGGTTGTGCACGCACGCTGATGGCCATGGACCGTGGACCGCGACTTGGCTCTGCTAGCGCCGGCCTCTCGATAAAATTACAGACGGTGGTGACCTGAACAATTCAGCATCCGTCAATGAGATTGACTCGCATCCTCGTCCAAGATGCAATATTTCCGGTCTAGTTTCACACGGAAGCAATGGACGGAGCCATTGACGACAATCAATGCTCGACGCGTCTTCAATTGACTCTGAACGTCATTCAGCTTGGCCGAAATTGATCGTCCATCATCCACCAGAGCCGCCACATTCGCGGGACAGCAGGGGAGAATCCCTGAATGATCTGCCTCTGTCTGCCTCCAATCACCAGGATCGCAGGTGTCTCGCTCTCGCCCATTTGCAGCGCCTGCATCTGACGCAGGGGTTTCCTTCCCCGGGAAGATAAACAATGGCAGAGATATACTCAAGATGGACACGGCATTGACGGGGCGGCCAGCGCCTTCAGCCCACTAGCGGAGAAATAACTGTCGTCAATATCGTTCGATTTGCGCGTATAATTGGTCCCGACCCAGTACTAACTGCACTGCAATGCCGCTGCACTCCTACCTCGGAGACTCAAAGAGGGGCTCAACAACCCATTGTTACAGCAAAAAGATGGCGGATAGCATCAGCTCAAGCCCTCGACTGTGTTTCCCGTTACTTTGGTCACTTTCAGAAGCCGTTTCGTCGCAGGTTCAATGGAACAAAGCCATACGCTACCGACCGGTGCTGCTTCAGAACTCAACAGGGCCTTCTTTGACTTTGTCCCTGGGACACACTAGATCGCTAGTCGCGAGTCCGGTCAGCTGGCGCTGCCAATAAAAGAAGCTGGCAAATGGGCTTCTTTCCAACCCTGTTCGATTGCTTTTTCTCCGAGAGTTGCGCTAAATTACGATTGCTACCCCTGACCTGGCCGTCCATGTTTTCTTTTACTGGCCGCAATGGCTGTCATCGTGGAGACACACGTACGCAGTTCATCTCTTGGGAACAGAGACCTCCTTGCCTGTTTGCTTTTCCCACGGCTTTTCGATCGCTCAGAAATTTTCCATCTGGACGACAACAAACACTGTGCCGCCTCGGCCCAGGCTGCTCCGGAGGCTGCCTCTCGACATCCACAATCTCGGTTTCTGTCTTGGTTCATTGTTTGTCAATGACGAGGGGATACGCTGTCCTGATCAGGACCCCAGCACCAGGGTTGCGGAACTCTATCGACATCCGTCTCAGACCTGAAGCTGACCTGAGTGATGCAAAGGCAGAGCCAGCTTGAAGCCTCACACATGCTAACGAAAGCTAAGGCAGCGAAACTGCTGGAAAAGCTGTTTCGTTCTGCTTACACCTTTGTTGTCACTTTCGCACGGGCCGCGGGCCATCCCATCCGTCCCATTCATGCCCCATCCCATCCGACTCTGCCCTCCGTTTGCTGACCTGTTTTCGAAACTTCGGGGCCTCAATTTCGTCCGAGCAGCAAGTCATGTCACTGCTGCGCCAGCTTGTTTTCTCCAGGTTTTGCCGACCCTTCACGAATTGTGGACGACCAGGTGCCCGGCTCATCATACAAACACGTAAACGAGGACTTGACAGGGAGACGGCCTGCGTGTTGTACTCGTTTGACTTGGCCGTGGATTTGGACACGGTCGACGGGCCGCATCCATTACCATGTCTCTCTTCCGTTTGGGCAAATACGCACAAGTCAACCGCCAATGGGAAACTGAACTTGGCATCCGGACAGAGGAACTAGGCAAAGTTGCCTGGATATCGGGTCACAGCAGGGCAAGCGCAGGAAAGCTGGGTAGTAGCTGGCGTCGCAAATGCTTGGCCCAGCTCCGCGTGCTTCGTACCTTGCCTTACTAGAAATCCTCTTATCCCGTCTGATCCCTTGGTGGAGGCTACGCCAGTGGCTCTCGATGAAGGAGGGTGTGCTACCCCATGCAACATGAAGCAGCCACGCTCAGGTACATGGATTCTTGTATCGCGTCTTGCCTTGAATGCACGAAGCCTTCAACCCGGTCTAACAGTCACTCTAGCGTGGGCTCTATCTTGCTCATTCGCTCCGCTCCATCATGTATGCACTTCATCAGCCTTAGCACCCTTACACGACTCATCCCGTCGCATGGTCCCTCCTTTTCTTTTTCCATCGCCCGCCTAGAACTGACGCTATTCCTGCCCGTCCACGCAACCTTTAGACTCCCCGACCCCCCTCCTCTCAACTCCCATTCTCTTCCTCTACACCTTCTCTTCCGACAGCTTTTGCCTCCGTCACTGTTGCCGTGGTCACAGTAGCCTTGTATCTTCGAGTCCTGGGCCGTGACACTCTCAAAACTCTCCTCCAACACTGCAATTCGTCGTATCGTCGTATCTTCGACAGCCATAGCATTACGCAATAAACAGACGGCGTGTCTGCCCAAGACAACCGCCGCATGGCGGGCGAGAAGCTGCGACCATGGGCCTCTTGAAGTTCTTCTCGTCCAAAAGATCATCGGAAAAGTCAGCAAACAACATTAAAGCGCAAGCCTACGATGCTACCACGGCCTCTCTACCCCCACTTCTTGGTAGGATTCCATCCCACCTTGAGTCGCTTTGCGAATACGACTAACACCTTCAGGAACCTACCCTGTCGCCGGAAATGGCCCAACCAACGTCTTTGAGGACCTGCAACGGTCTCACCACAAGATGAGCGAAACCAATCTTTCTCTTATAGCCGGATCCGAAGCATCGGCACCCGCTCCGCCCGTTCCACGATTCCGCGATGCCAGCGTTGAACGTCCAAGTTCCGCCCCGAACGGTGCCGGACCGAGTTCATCGTCGCCATCGAGTCGCAGAGGAAGAGATTCTTCGAAGGGCCCACCGCTGTCGTTCAGGAAACCGCGTCTCGGTTCTGTGACGTCGACGGGGTCCCCGGCACCGCGACGTGGAAGCCAATCGCCGGCGATCCCCTTCGAAGGCGAGCCTTTCCGTCCACCAACAGCCCCATTCGCACACAACCGCCATTTCTCGATACAGAGCAATAGCTCCATGGCCCGAGGTTTCATCGACATCTTGGACGCCCAATCTGAGATCAAACCTTCCGGATTCCAGAATCGGGTTAAGGCGGCCGGCGTTCGGGATTATGGAGAGGATGTTGCTGACAGGAACATTGGTGAAAATGGAGTCGACTTGGCGTCTGCGAAGGTCCAGGCATTCTATGCCACCAACGGTGGTAGCCCTCATGATCGGCAAGATGGCGCGCCCGCACCGTCTGTCTCAATGGCACAGTTTGGAGACAAAGACCAACCGTTCAAGCCTCCCCGACGCCACGACTCACTCGATATGGGCGGCCGAACGAAGTCTCTGACTTCAGCGAGCGTCGGCCAAATCCCATTCCGAACCACCATTTTCAATCCCGATCGATCGCAGAGGCACGAGACAATCATGGAAGACGTACCCGAATCGGCCCGCAGCCGACGAAGACAATCTCTTGGATCCTACTCCCTTGGATCCTTCATCCCGACTACCCCATCGAACGGGCCGCTTGACGTCCACAAAATAGCCGATTCATCCGTCTCGCCTAGCACCAGGAGACAGAAACGGCGATCAACGACCGGTGGCGAGGCACCACTCAACGAATTGGGTATCTTCAGCACACGACCGACCGAATCGCCATCGTCGCCAAAGACATCGCAGAAGGCGGTTTACGTGGTCAAGCACAACTACTCGCTGCCGGTCCAGCAGCGACCAAAGACCTCCGGCCATGCGCAGCCCGAGACTTATCAAGCGGTGAGGCCGCCATCCCGCGGAGGGTCAGTAGCCAATTCCACTTTCTCCTCCCCAACCCAGAAAACGCCCTCAAAACGACATACTCTGTCACTGTCCGCGACAGGTGTGCCGTCCTTCCGCAACGGCGAGTTGTCGTCACGGAATGTGATTCCCGACGATGACAACGACGCAAGAGGGCGGGTCGGCCGGGTTGAGGTTGAGAGCTTTGTTGATTTTGGGGATGGATCCTCACCGGCGCCTTCACCTCGTTAGTTTGACCGTCGATTTCTACCATTGTGTTAATTGCAAGGATACATTTGCTGACTTGAATCTGTCACAGATGTGATGAGAAATGGCCCCTCGTGGCGTGAGAGCCAAGACGAGAGGTTGAAAAGCAACGTGCCGCCAAGGAAGAACAACAAGCTCGATGAGATTTGCGAGCATGTGCCGATCCGGACCAGTAGCCTACGCCACTGGTCAATATCCTCCGCGACGCCGACCATGTCCAGCACTAGCTCATTTCCGCGACCGCAGTCTAGACATACGGCCACGACGTCTGTCGATCTTGCAACCATGTCCTCATTCATGAACGACAGCTGCAGCTCATTGCACAGTGGGACTGCTGACCACACCTCGTTCTGCACTGCGCTTGAGAGCGCGCTGCCGTCGCCAGTGGACGCGGCCACACCAGGCGCAGGTTTCAACATTGACGACTACCTCTCGTCAGACGACGACGTTGACGCGGATTCTTTCATTACAACGCGTCATCGCGACTCAGGCCTTGGTGCGACTCAAGAGGAGGAGCTCCTGTTCAGCGACAGCGGGTACGGAGAAGCAGGTCTGCAGCTACCAGGCCTGTTCGACAGCCTGTCTGCTGTTCCGGAGCCCAATTATGTATCACCTTCGCGTCCCAGCATGCGGCAGTCCCACAGCTTCGGCAGCCCAGTGCGCTTCCAAAGGAGACTGTCTCTGGACCCGAGGGTTGAGGCACCCATCTTCTCACTTGATGAAGAGGATGACGGGCCTGGTGATTACGATATCCTGCCTGCTCGAGCAGACCTAGCTCTCGGCAGGCGGGGCACCAGGAGGATCTCAGCTATCGGGACGGTGTACCAGAGTATCGAAGAGGAGAGAGAAGAGAAGGTCGATGTGAGGACGGCGATTCGACTAAGAAAGGAGGCCAAGGCTAAGCAAAGAGCCATGGCGAGGCTCAGCAGGGTGCAGCGGAGAAAGGCTGTGGATGATGACGCGGATCATGCTGATGTGGAGTGAGGGGTTGTCAACCAGGAGGGGTTAGTACTCATTTACATGGTCTTCACCTCGTGTTCTTTTTGTGGTCTCGGTTCAAGGGGCTGGACATGGGCTTGGAAAACATTCCTTTAGGAGTTTCGAGTGTGAGTTATACCCAGGGAGTATCGACGGACGGGACGACTTAGCGATTTGGATTTGGGACTTGGGATATAGAGAGACAGCCGGCGCAAGCTTGGATGTCTGGGAACCGTAACGAGATCATGTATGACATGCTAGAATAGAGATTATGATACCTTTCCCCCTGAACCACACTCTCCGGTATGCACCATGGGTTTGAAATGAGTGAGATGCCGAAAATGCAGGTTTGACACTTCGTATAAGAGTAGAAATTTGTGTCCAGACCTGAGTTAACATTTCACATGAAGTTTTGTTATGCGGCCGGGCAGTAGTCACGGACTATAATCGACAGTGACGCTCACAACGATAGATAGCGACAATGATGAGAAACAGGGGAGGCGACGACTAGAGAGATAACAATAGTAAAAACTAAACTGTAGGAGAGAAGAAAACAAAGTATTTCAATAACACGGCCAAACCGGCATGTTAGCTCTCTAGTACCTACTGATAGTCCTTCGCCCGGTCAGCTCAAGTATCCGCACGAGTAGCAAAACGCTTCACCTCCATTCCCGCTCGTTACTGCCTTCTTGGGCCCAAGTGTATCGCATTTCCGTACAGTGGCTACATTCCTGTTCAGAGGAGAGAAACTCCGACCTAAGACCAGACCGCGAGGATGAAAGATGAAAGCATTCTGTGTTCTTTTTTTGGTACAGATGTATCAGGAAAGAAACTGTAATATGGCAGCATTATTATACCAACGGATCTCCTGACAATACTGCCGGTCATTGCCCCATTGCCGGTTCTTATTGTAGAAGAGGAGTATTTACCAGTCTGGGTCACTGATGGCGCCACCCGGAAATATATCTCGGTGCCGGTTGCTGATGATACATTTGCTGTAAAGGGGGCGGTGTTTACCATGGCGTAACCCCATGAGATCCGCCTACACTGGCTGATACTTCGGTGTAAAGGCAGACAGACATTATCTTCAAATGAGGGGGTAAGACTGTTATCGGTCTTTTTGGACGCACCGGGCCTTGATGACGGTGGTGAGATGCTGTGAATCAAGCCGACCTGACAGAACTTGGTTTTTTGGCTGAGATGGAGAGAAGATACTCTACAAGACCGAGATATCTGATGAGAACTCTATCATCAAGACTCGACCTGAATCGGAACCAAACGCTATAGACGAACCCCTAACATCGTATGTACGCGCTCGATACTCCGGTGGGATCCAGAGTATGGGCTTGGAATCCTTCTGTATCCAGGCGCCTTTGAATGCTTCAGACAACATGAGACCTTCGGAACTCGTTATCTGAGGAGTTTGTGGCGTCGATGTCTCCACGCCTGTAATTGAGAGGGATTCTATGTTAATGTTGCCAATATCAGTGGTGAGCTGCGACCCTGATTGCGAAAACCTCAAATGTTCAACCACCTTAGGTACGATGAACGTCATTTTGCAGTCGCCCGTAGCTGGATCCCAGAGCTTGATAGTTTTGTCAAATGAGCTTGAGGCCAGTGTAATTCCGTCGTTCGAAAAAGCAGTCGATGTGATATCCTGCGCGTGGGCCTCGAAACAATGCAATTCTTGCTCCGTGACTGCATCATAGATGCAAATCCATTGTGCGCCTATTCTTCCTGCGAGATAATAGTCATTTCCAAATATTGTCAGCGATGGTTCCCAGGGTAAATGAAGACTGAGTGTCTGTGTTTTAAGGCACTGGTCGGTGGTGAAATCCCAAACACTAATACCAGCACTTGATAGCGATGCGACTTTTTTCCCGTCATAGGAAAAGGCCACCGAGACGATATTATTCCTGAACAATTTGGGTTCTTTGCGGGGTTGGTTTGTAGCTGTGCCATCTACCGCGGGCGGTGTTAGTTCGCATAATTGTGAGCTACTAGAGAAAGAGACAAAAAGAATCCTTTCTTACCTTTGGTCGCATTGCGAGAGCCCGAATGAAGGCAGCCAGGATATGTGCTAGACCCTCCCTCTACAGGTTGGTATCTTTGAACCCCCGAGATGTCCCAGACCCTAATCATTGGATCTCTCAAGGAACCCGAAACAAGTTGTGTACCATCAATTGAAAAGGCTAGCGCCGAGGAGGTATCGATAGACAGTTCCCGCAAGACTTTGCCTGTCTCTGCATCTCGTATCTCGACCGCCGAATTCTTGAGAGCACTGCATGCAACAAAGCGTCCATCTCGTGAATAGGCCACTGCGGATTCAAAGGCTGTTTGGAACTCGGGTGCATCGATGTCCTCCCAAATGGACTGACATGTCGTGGTATCCCATGATCTCAGTCGACAGCACCTGTCGCAGCTTACAAGGCGGGTGCCATCGAACGATAAGGCTATCTGGTATCTTTCATGATCATGCTCCTCAGGGCATAAAGGATGAAATGTCTTCGAGTGTGTTCCGGTTTTCGTATCAAACGACACAATACGACCTCTCTTGTAGTACCGAGCAAAGAAGGTGCCGTCGCTCGAGAAGGCGACTCCATTTTTCGGGAACGGCTCTGATTCTTGGAACTGCCGCGTGTAATGACCTGTGGCTATATCCCAGATTTCAAAATTTTCCTGTGACCCCAACATGATCTGTTGATCACCGCTGCAAAACGCCGCGCGGACAAAATGCGTAAACCCATCGTTGGGCGGCCGATTGCCATGGAACGTGTTGAGAAGTCGGCCTGTTGCCTCATCCCAAAGCCTCACAATACCATCTAATGAGGCTGACGCGAGCTTATCTCGTTTAAGAGAGAATACGACTGTATAAGGACGCTCCCCATGGATTTGGAGTGTTCGTAAACATTGGCCAGTTGTTATGTCCCAGACTTTGACTGTATTGTCGCTCGAGGCCGACGCCAACGTCGCTCCATTAGGTGAAAAGGCTAGACTACTAACTGGGCGATCGTGACCCTCAAGTGTCTGCAAACATGGACCCCATTGGTCGTCCACCATTGGACATTTTATTATCCAGTGTGGGATTTCAAATCGAAAGTGCTGCCTAATGATACTTTGCATTGGGCTGAAAACGAGTGCCGAGGAATATACCTGAAGGGGGCAAGTTTCGATCGCGACACGGCAATATCGAGCAAATCGTAAAGCATCTTTAATAAAAGACTTTCTCTCGGATGTCTCTTCCGATTTCTAGGGCGTTTAGCACTCGACGAAAGAAATTATCCCATTAGGATGGAGAATACCTGAATGGCCCGAGTGAGTTTGATCAGGCTTGCTATTGCGCGGGAAACACTTTGCATTAGACCCATGGCTTCCATCCAATGAAGGAAGTGTTGTTTCAAGAAACTGTGGATTTGGCGGTATTGTTCTTTTCCAGTGTGTCCTTCGTCGTCAACATGCTCGGCCCAGTAAACACATGCGTATTTGGCCGGTTCTAGGGGGTCAGGCACTGGAGTGCTAATGTCGTCAAGAGATGCTCCGGGTTCTTTCAGATTGAATATGTTTTGGCGACAGGTTTGAGACATCACTTCTAGTGATCTCGACAAAAGAAGGTTATGCTCGTGATGAATACCAGAGGGCATGGTTTCGGCCAGAGCATGTCGAAACAAGAAGTCTTTTGCTGACTGGTGAACAAAATAGACGATATTGTCCTTGACAGTCAGAAGGGAGCCACACTCACCAATGATCTCCTCTAGGATCTGCGTCTTGTTGCAGAATTCTTCCAATGCCGCAAGACACATCAACTCGAGTAACGTGACAGGCCGACAGACAATCGAAATAACTGCCAGTATTCTTCTGCAAAGATCCTGATCATTCGATTCCCAAGTCCGTTCTAACATTCTTCTATACAGAGCATCTAGCTCCTGAGGGAATTCTTCCACTTTCACCCGTGCGTGCCGTTCAGAGACACCGGGTTTTCCAAGTTGGTCGGTCACTAAAGCAACCCAAAGGAATGTATCGTTTGCTTTCGAGCTCAAGCGGCTGTGAACATACTTTCGTGTGTCGATGTTGTATTTCTTTCGTGATGCCAGCTGTTCCACCTTATGGGCAATGTATAGGTTGACAGCTGCCGAGATTGACCCCTCGTTTAGCTCTAGCTTGATACACACTTGGTCCGAAACATCTGCAACAGCCTCTTCGATCCTTAGCCAATTGCGGCTGGAAGCGACGACTTTGACATTTAATGAAGACAGACGAACGATAAAATCGAGCAGCTGATCGAGGCCTGTTGTGCACTCATCTAGAGCGTCGACAATAAGGACGAAGTCGTTGAGGCCGCCATCCTGCGCTATGTTCGTGAATGTTTTGTCCAAAACATCCCAGCCATTAGCATCTTCAAACAGTCGCTTTCCCGCATGCTCATGCTCTTCGCGTATGAATCTAGAAAGAGCAGGTCTCTTTCTGAGTAATAGATACAGAAGACTACGCAGCACGGCAGTCGCGTTATTAAGACGCGAATCGGTCGCTTCGCAGAAGAAGTAGATCGCCTCCCATCCTGGCATGCGTGCAGGTAGTTCGTCGATGATGCCGCAAATAAGCATCGTTTTGCCTTTACCAGGGTCGCCTCTTTATCCAGAGAAGCGAGCTCCGTGTATCGGTCATCCATCGGACAAAGGCCTCGTGATCGAGAATCTAGTAGTATGAGTCGCGTAGGAGCCCGCCCTTTCTGCGCTCGATACGTCTTTTGTCGTCGCGTGGATCAGTGACGCGCAAATCGGTGAGGAGTTTGGAATCGCTTTGGTTCTGCGCATCTACATTCACAAATGACGTCAGTGGTGGGCAAGGACTCAGTCTGCGGTTGCTTACTGTAATTGATGGTATTTGCGTTGAACTGATTCCCAGAGCCAGAGTTATTGTTCTGAGTTCCGTGTGTGTTGCTGTATTGGCTGCCTGAGCCAGAATTCCTGGAATTGGTAGCCATAGCGAAGGTGCGTCAAAAGCGGCGGTTATCTTGCTCGACGAGCGCCACCTGCTTCAGGCAGGGAGCTGTCTTTCAGCCAGGCAGACCGAATCGAGAGACAAAGCTTCCAGATCTGATCTGGGGTAGGCAGGCTGCGAATCAGTATATATAGGTAAGCCTTGACCCGCTTGTCCGCTGATTCGCAATTTCTGTACTGAGCACTCGCGTCGCTGTTACTGGCCATGAAGATCATGCATGTCAGCAAAGGCACACGATACAGGGACGTCATTGGGCGAGTTCTCTTGGAACGGCGGGGATGTTCTGCATGACCTGGCACGCTTGAACAGTTGAGGGGTACCTCGCAGCCTGGTGTGTGTTTCTTGGCCTGATGCATGGTCAAGTTGCCAGACTCAAATGCTGGTCACAATATGCTTCGCTGCAAAGAATTGGAAGGGGGATTTCATGGTACATATATAAATGATCACAATTATCCGCGTGCTCACTTTTAGCCTCCTGGGCGAATAAGTAGTGATGATAGGTTAATAATAATAATATGGACGACAAAGACGACGAGGACGACGAGGACGACGAGGACGACGAGGACGACGAATGCAACACCGACAATGAAGACGAATACGAACACACAGATGATAAAAATAAATTAAAAACGAAATAATAACTCAGATACCTTATAGACAGTAGTTCATCCACTTGGCTTAAGGTGTGTGCCTGGATAGCAGAACTCAGCGTAGATATATCATTTTCACGCTAGAGGGGGCGATCATTCGTGGCTTCAGGCTTGGAGGACGATGGATTTTCGTGACACTATGTTGACCGCAAAGATACATGGTGGGTCAGAGACATGAGCTGCCCTCCGGATCACTCCAACTCAGCCACACTATTCGCCGGCAGCTCGTGCCTCACAAAATGAGGTGTTTGAGTGCGCTGAGTCTGTTGTTGACCATGTTTCTGGCCCTGAGCCGCGGTATTTGCGGGTGGCTGCGCTGGAGGTTGGCTTGCATTGGACTGTTTTCCTGATATTCCGGCGCGAGTCTGTTCCCTTCGACGTAGTATGAGCCAGATGACCACGCACAGCAATGCGAGGGCGATGACTGATATACCGCTCACTACTCCTCCTATGATAGCTCCATTGTTGTTGTGAGGCGCTGATTCGGGTTTGGAAGGCTCAGATGGTACAGGAGCGGAAGAGGCACTGGCCGTGACCCTGACGATGTCGGTAGGGTCATCTACCAAGAACACCTGGTTTGTATAGCTGGAGCCGACCCCATAGTCAGTCCTGTAACATCCCCTACGTGTGAGGAAACCACCTGAGGCGGTTTTTTTGATCCAATCGACACATAAAGGCAGCCATCCGTTTTTTGAATTCGTGCTCCAAAGGAATTGTCAGTCTGAGTTTATTGGCAAGGGCTCAGTCCTCGTACCAACAATGTTCGGCACTGCCCAGCATGGATGTGCTGCGACATATCGATGCCGTGCTGTTGTAGCATAATGTGATAGCTAAGGAACAATGCATCCATGGACCCGATGTATGACAGCTGGTACTGCTATCACATGTATACGGCACAGGCGAACCTACGAAATTTGAGGTTAGCTTCGTTGGAGCAAGTAGGGTTCCCGTGCAGAGAGACGTGCAAACCTTTGAAAGAAGGGTCAGATATGAATCCGCAGGTATCTACAGACCGTTTTGCTAATGGGACATTCTTTAGATGAACTGCTGGACCTGTAGTGGGAATAGGTATCCGACGGAGACGCTAGCCTGCATAGTCCTCTTCGGCCACCGTACGTCGGGCAGGGAGACTATTATCCGCGGCCAACATGTCGTATGTTGAGAGCTCTTGGTGTGAATGAGGCATGCCATTCTTCAGAATGGGGCGCAGGTACGTCTTTTATTGAACGGGCTGGGTGCCAAGCCGAAAGCTGCTGCTTGTCTTGGACAGGTGGGGAAGTCACTACTTTATTGTGTTCATCTCCCTCAGAACTGTCGTACACATACTCGGCGTAAGTCGTGACACTCGAGTGTTCCCGAAGGACAGACTTCTGACGAAGCGCCCTGAGGCATATTGCAAGGCTGTCGAGAGGGGGATGTCTCACTAATTACGCTTCAGGTCACTTCATCTGTCACACATCAAGAGCTACTACATGCTACTTCCTCTTTGGGAAGCGACGTAAGATAATCTTGGATATTCTAATCCTATTAGGGAACTACTCATGGACGGCTTGGGCACTCAATATTGGGGAATTTAGCTCCTCACACCACTATCGACCCAACTCAACCGTGTTGTTCCCATTATGACCACCGGCTAAGTAAGGTCCCGGACTATACTGCGGAACAGGAGACATTGAGTTAGGTCTCTGCTGAACCTGCTGTTGGCTCAGCCTCTTGTCATGGCTTCCAGGGCTCACCTGAGAGGTTTCGTAGGGCTGGATGAATGGTTGGCTCGTCTCGGGATGATCTGATATAGGTGATGGATCGTCTTTGTGGGCTGCCTTCCTCCGGCGTAGCACCAGCCACACGATCACACATACTGCCAGCGCGATCACTGCTACGCCACCAATCGCGCCGCCGACTATCGCTCCGATGTTTGTGCTTGATTGATCTGAGGCTGAGGATGTTGTTGCTGGTGTAGATGTCGAGGTAGTGGCAGTGGAAGAGGAGGAATCGGAGCCCGTTGACGAGCTGCTAGTCGTTGAAGGTCTGACAATATCGCTTGGGTCATTAACCAAGAAGACCTGTCTCGCGAACGTGCCGTTGATTGCCCAGTAGTCCTTGTAACATCCCTTTCTCGTTAGGTATTTTTCCGACGTGGTCTTTTTCACGTAGTCCACACAAGATGGCAGCCAGCCACTTGTAGTGTCGGTGCTAGCGACGGTACAGTTAGCTTACGATATATAACAATACACATGGGGCTCATGAGATTGGGATCAACATACCAGCAACGAGTACTTTCCCCTATGGATGTGCCCCTGCACGCCCACCCGTCGAGACACTCTGTGATGAGCGCGTCGTTTTCCGTTCCGCAGCCGAGATATGCCCCATAGGACGTACAGATAGTAGTGCCTGCACAAGCATATGCGCGTGCCTCAGCTAATGTAGGTATGCAAGGTTAGTTTCGTGCGGGATATGATGTAGTCAGGCGAGAAGCTCACAATTAAAGGGGTCAGATACGAAACCACATGTATCTGCAGCGCGTACAGCTAAAGCAGCATTTCTGAACCGTAATATTGGAGCAGGTGTCGGTGCAGGTGCTACAGGTACGCCAAGGAGCGCATCCTGTTCGGAGGAAGGCGTTCGTTGTGGAAGGGAGTTCTCGTGACCTAAATTGCTCATGGCCAGAGCTTTGTAAAACATTCCCGTGACTATGACCACGGCCCATGGAAGACGCATTGTCGGAGGCTAGGTGCTCATGGATATCGAAAACATCTCCGGGAGACTCAGAAAGGAAGTTAGTTCAGGCCTTAATGCTATGAATATATGGAAAGGCTCATCTCTAAATACTGTTGCCTGATGCCAAGTTAGGGGGTACTGCTGCTCTGGTATTTCAAGCGGCGAGAAAGGCTGGGCCGTTATCTTCGTATTTTCAAGAGACAGGGAAAGCCACCGTAAGCGTAGTTTTGTGTAACGCTCTGCATGAATTTCGTAATTTGTTATGTTGCTGATAAGTCAAAGCAGGCTGGCTCAGGAATGCCATTCGTCGTAAGCCTCATCTCGTCCCAGCCTGCAGAAGGGATGCAAGAACCCGGTCTGGTGGCTGCTTGGCGAGGAGGGATGTCAGCCGTTTCTGACGGGACGGCTTTTCAGCTGAAGCCATCATCATGGAGATCTCAAAAATGACTGGCCGAGTCTGGGATTCATGCACGCAGCCTTGTGCTGAGTACGAAGGGCGAATGGCTCACCGCGTGATGTGTCTTAGTTGCCTGCAGCTGCCCACCTACTGTGCATGCCGCATATGCAGGCTACACATCAATTACTCCCTTCGAAACCGACCGCGAGAATCGGAGACCCCCTTCGCCCACACAGGCGAGAATGCCGATCAAGAGCTTGCTTGGTATTGTTGCTCAAATTGTCCAAGATCTCAAAACATCAAATGGTCGTCCCCAGCTGATAGCCCGCTCCCACTCCCGCCACCGAGGAACGTGCTCCAGTCCAGCTCCGTGAGCTGCTCATCGCACCATCCGAACAGATCCATCCCTCCGTCCGTGGTCGCCGAAGGTGTCCGAATCGTGGACCCCGCGTTGGACCCGCCCTCGACTTCCGCGGTGACTGCTTCATACAGCGCTGCCACAATATCTGGAGCCCTGTCTGAGGCACGCATCCAAGGGCGCATCTCGGCGAAGAGCTCCAGGGCCTTGGTCAGACTTGCGCACCATGTTTGCAAGGCGACAGAGGCTACGGTATCTGGAGAGCCTGCGACTGCTGGAGGCGGATGATTTGGTGTTGTAATTGAGGTTATCGGGACCGAGGTCGATGCGCCCGATGTCCGTCTTTGGGCGTTTTGGTGTTGGTGTTTGCGGGCTGCCGTTGCTCGGTGGGTTTCGATCGCGATGGATAATAAGGGGACCATGCATGCTTGGAAGAGATACCACGCAGAGTTCCACACGTGGACGCGGTTGGGTGTCCAGTAGAGCGTGATGGCGTCAATTGCTTCTGAGGCGACGGCGCGGCACGATTCGACGAGGGAGAGCTCCTCTTGGGAGACGTTTGAGGCGATGTCGCTGGTTGTGGAAGTGCTGCCCCGTTTGAGGCTGTGGTCGTGGGCGAGGTATAGTAGGAAGCAGCGGGAGAGGATTAGCCGGACGTTGAGGTATCTGTTCCGCATGAACTCCCGGGCGACAGTCAACCTCGGCGAGGAGTTGGCCGGGTTCTTGAGTGCTTCGGGGAGAGAGGCGTGCCAGTCGCGGAGCTCGCGGTCGAAGGACAGCGCCTCGTGGGCGGAGAGCCGCGCGGGCTGGGCGAAGCGATGCTGGATTCGGTCGCAGATGTGGCAGAAGTGGCAACTAGCTCTCAGGGACGCTGCGACATGGTCGTCTGGAGTGAGGGGGGTTGGTAGAAGCGTGTCCATGGTGCTGCTATCCCATCTGCCGCAAGTCGGCCGGCCGAGAGTCATGCTGGCCCAGGTATCGAGGCAGAAGAGACTCCACCATGTCCGTCGCCGGGTCTCGGTGCGGATACTGTGGTGTTCGGCGGTGTGCTCGGCGGCATGGCGGTGACTGCGGACAGGCTCGCGATGTAAGCCAAGGGCAATGGCCACGCGATGAGCAGCACCGAGAACTGCGTATGCCATGTTGGGTGAGTTGCGGTAGTGAAGGTAGTAGCCGCCGAGAAGACACAAAGCCTGAAGACTCTCCATGTTCCCTGACCCCAGAGAGTCGAGACCGAGATGGGCGCGTGCTTGCTTATAATATTGTACGTGTAGTGTGTCACTCCCTGAGGCGACGGAGCCGAGGGTGAAGACCATATTGAGAAGAGCTAGCCAGGAGTCATCGTGGCGGTTGCCTGCGGCGTAGGTGTTGCGAAAGTCGTCTTCATTCAGGATGGGTGTTATGGGGTGGATGTGCTCAAAGTAGAACTCGATGCAGCGTTGCTCGCGGAGCGGATTCATTCCTTGACTGGCTGCGTTGAGGATAGAGAGAGGGGGCAGGCTTTGTTGATAATGCGGCAACGATGAGGACTCTGTCCATGACTTTGCGCGCTGGGCGGTGTGTTCTTTGGCGACTGGGCAGAGACGGAAGATGGCTCTGAGCACGGCACTCATGGAGGTGACACCTAGATATGAGCGGCGATGCTGGTCTGTTGCCAAGGATATTGCATTGATGTCGTCACTTGCACGGATGGTTGCTGTGGGCTGATGAGCGGCAGCGGATTCATCCCACCGCCTGTCGTTGGCGGGCTCGCCGTTCTCAGAGATCTGAGTCGAGTCATTCGGGTCATTATCGTCGTCGTCCTCATCGACGGCGGAGATATCAGTCGGTGAAGGATCTTGAGTCGTGGGTGGTAGGTTGTAGAGCGAGTCGCGAGGGATGAGGGCGACAAGCTGTGAGCGAGTCTTTCCGACAAGGTCTTCTACCGGGGTGTCGGGGAATAGTTCATTGAGAATGCGAGACTGGGCCTGGAGTTGTTCAGATGCCCTTTCAAGTGTACTATGATGAGATTAGCATGAAATACATGAGCCGAGGTTGAGTAAGATGAGAGTAACGAATGGGACTTACCTCCGGCTAACGGCATGCCGTTTACTGCGTTGCCTGTACTCGCAAGTATCTGCAACTTTGTAGTACTCGCAACTAGCACACGGACGACCGCCGTCGCATTTGACTTTGCGCCTCGTGCATTCCTGGCATGACCTATTCACTTTCCGGGACGGCGTTGCGGAGCCTACCGCCGAGGCTGGCGGGCTTCGGCTGTCGAAGGAGTGAAACATTGCCGAGATCACCGCCGTTGCGGCGGTTGCGATCGGCACTTATACGGCCCCTCGGCAAGCAGCTGGAACGACACCAATTGGGCCGGGGCACATTTGGGGTATGCGGAGGCTGATGCTATTACGGTGGGAGAGGTGGAAAGGATGGCCGCGCGCTCTGCAAATGAGGTGGATGGAAGAGGAAATGTGGGCTGAAGAATGGAAGGGTGAGGTGACTTTTGGGAGGAGACTTGGGTGGGAAATTCGAGGGAGCTGACGCGGGGGAAAGTGGAGAACTGAACATGGGGAAAGTGTGGAGTTGGAGAACCTGGATTTGCTGCTCACTTGGAAGAGTCAGGGGTCGGGGGAGCGGCCGGGTCTAGACCGGGATGGGCCGGGGTGAAACCGGGGGAGCACGGTGCTGATGCCGGCCTGTCATTCTCTCTCCTTAGCCATCTTAAAACGACGGCAAACACATGGACATCGTCTGCTACGAAAACTAAAGAAAAGAAAGAGGAGGGAAAAAAAAACAAGCAGCTTTGCACTACTTATTGTACCTTTCTAAGCGGACTAGTGGTGTTGAAAACTTGTGGTACGATTCTTTAAGATTTGTGCACGCTTGCTTCTATGTATAAGTTGTTCCTTTTTTTCTGTGTTGCCCCTGCTATCCCTCCCATTGCTGCGCGGTTCTTTTCATCTCCATCACCCCTGCCCAGCTGTTATCGCTACATAAACACGCTCCCCAAAAGCGTTTGCTCAGGACATCTGGACTTGCCTTTCTCACCTCTTTCTTTTGAAAACCCCCAAGAAGTCCCGCATACGATCTACAAAAGACTTTGAGGTGTCGAAAGCCGCGACCATCATATTGGTAATGGTCTCCCGCCATGAAGGCTCATTAGGTGGCAGGTGGATGGCATCGGGTGGTAGCTTCCAGTGATCCCCCAAATCCTTCTGAATCTGGCTAAAAGACACCATGTATGCGCAGCCCGTTGATCGTGCAATCACAACACCGAGCAACGTACCTTGATCCTTACTCACCACCCATGAGCCAGAATCACCTTCTTGTAGATCTATGGCATCAAATAGTCAGCTTAGAACAATGCCATGAATGATGAAAACTTGAGTCATACCATGCCATAGCCCTATGGTCCATACCTCCTGAAGCCCTTGGTTTCCGAGGAGCATTGCTGAAGGGGTAATAGACAGGGATCCCCTCTTCAGACCACTTCTACCGGACATGACAAGCACTTCTCTCGGCGCGGAAGCATCCATTTCAGATGGCGAGGAGCAGCGATGTACTGCGCGACGTTTCATTGCTTGCTGCCCATGAGATCTCTCTAAAACCAGATTTGGTCGCTGGAATCCGGGCCGAATCAAGCAAAGTTGCCACTCGCCCACTACCTGCACATCGTAGCTTTTGGGCAGAGATGAGGTCAAAAAGACTCGACGAAGTTCCTTCGCGCAGTCCTTACTTTGTCGACGGATCAACGCATCCACGGAGAAAATCGGAGGGATAGGCGGCAGAGGGTCATGAACTTCAGAGCAAATATAAGCTGCGAGGCCGCTGCCTTTGGGGCTCTGGACAATGTCCCAAAAGTTTGTGTCGTCCCGATGTTGTTGAGGTGCCTTAGTGGCAATATTAACGGGAGAACTGATGCTCTCAGCTTGTTTACATGACTCAGGTTTGCGTGATGCTTCGTCTTTCTTTGGAGGCCGGGGAACAAATCTTAAGCGAACCCGTTCTTTTCCAAACCCGGAGATTTTGTTCTTTCTGCCAAAGAGAAAGGGTCCTCTAGAGTCGCTCCAATGAGGGTCGCCCCAATGCGCGAATTGAGAAGTACGAGAAGGTGGCGAGCCGTGCCATGATCTGATAGTTTTACTATAGTCTGGCTCAATCGGTCGTAGAACCCTTGCCTCTGTTATGGTTGACGAAAACGGCATCAGCTTATCCGTATGAGTAAACTCTGGATATAATAAATCTGCAGCTTGACCAGACTGAACAAATGCTGGAACAACCTCGTCTGAGGTGAAACGTGATAGAAGAGGCTCTGTTAAGGTATGTTCATCTTCAGGGAGACTTTGACTTGTCTCACAATCAGATTGCGTTGCGCTCGGTTGTTGAAGCTGCGATTCAATCGGGACACTTTCGTCTGTCGTATGAAGCAGTGACTCAATACTTGGAGTACCATGGCTATCATGAGAATGACTTTCGGTCGTCGTGGGTACCGGATTTCCTTCTGATGTATGCAGTGCCGGCCCAGTGGTTTGAGTAGTGGCGTTTTCAATCAGCAGATCCCCATCGGTAAACAATATGACTGAATTTTCGGGCATCTCGCCAAAGGCACAGTCTGAATCGGACTCATCGTCATCGTCATCGTCAAAACAAGATGCTTCAGGAGGATGGCTTGTAGTAAGGGCATATGTCCGATCAAGGATTTGTATCAACCCACCAACGGTTGAAATACGCGGACTGCCATGCTCCTCTTGCGAAACCATCAGCGTACTACAGTACGTGAGGTCTTGACTCGACTTCAAGGCATATAGTCCTGAGCTTGGAGTGCGGAAGATTCGTCGGAGCTGATAGCAAATATCCAGTGGGGCATACAGCCTTCTTTTGTCTGGCTGAGACATGACTTGGTCGAAAGCCTTAATATCTTTGCGCCTGGTAAATCCAGCGATGCATATGAAAGTTCTGTTATCATGCTGGGTGGAGTGCCAGATGTCGCCTTTCAAACGTACGGATACCAAGCTCGTGATTACCGTTGGTAAGCTTCGCGTCAAGTGACCAAAAAGCTCGTCTTTTTTAGCATCTAAGGCACGAGCAAAGTTGTTGTGAACTTTGGTCTCCTCATCGCTGAAGCGAACGTCGGAAACTGCCGAAGCAACTTTGAGCTTCGTCATAACTCGACGTCTTGAGGTAATTATGACTTCGCTCGTTGGGTGAGATCCAACATGGTTTACGGGCTCTGGAAGGGATACTGAGCTTGACTTGTGACTATGATAAACTTTGCCATCTTGTACCCCATGAATGAGAGATTGAATAGCAGCTCGAGTCGAAGATGCTTCAGTGATTGTTGGTGTAGAAGGCAATGGAGGGCCGGGGAAAACTGGGCAAGTATGTGAAAGGTCTTGACTGACTTCGTCCTGGATGACCCCGACTCCAGAAACTTTATCCTGAGCCCCGGACAGAATATCCCCCGCTTCTGTCACTTCTGTTGTGTATGTTCCCAAAGTGACATCAGTTTCATCGGTTCCATCAGTTCCATCTGTTGTCGACGTGCCTTCCGCTTCGACCTCGAACATACGGGTTGAGTTGTGCGTACATGCGAGTTGCCCAAAGCTACGGTGCAGTGGCTCAATCCGTGTCTGTTGTGTGGTGGATTTGTGTATGTCGTCGAGCTGCCCAGCAATCTCGTCGGATTCCGACCTAGGCTCGCCGCCGGTCGATACTGCTCCCGAGGCATCGCTTTTGTGGACTGCGTCTCTGTCTATCAAGATCCTGAGACCAGTCCATGAAAGTAATTTCAGCCCCAAGATGAGTTGAAGAATCCGCATCAAATATTGTATCAAATCCGACATGAACGCAAGGCCACCGGCATGCTTGGCTGCATGTTGCATGTTGGCAAGAAAGAAGGGGTGGACGGTAGATGTTGATTCACTAGACTAAGTCGTGAATGTGCGTAATACGAGCATCTGGAACGAAGAGAACAGTCGTGAAGCATTGGAATTCTTTTCAGCGTTGCCAGAAGGACTGCATGAGGGAAAATAGGATTGAGTACGGACAACCACATGGGATAGGATAAGCATGCGAAAATTGCTCATTGCGAACCAATGGCTGCCTCACTGGTCTTCACTGCCACACTGCCACTCGTAGCTGAAAATGTCTTAGGAGACGCATCATTGCGGAGGCTGATTTTGTGCCCCTCGCCAATAGGGCCATTGCAAAGCTGCATATGAGGAGCCACCGTAGGTTAGAAATTGCCTGTCAGCACGCCGATCCATGTAGGGGTGGCTGGGAAGTGGAGTGAGCCCAGACCAGGCTGAGCCCCTTCGTGAATTCGATTTCCTACATGTAACGTCTCTCATCAACTAGAACTTCGCCGACAATGAATCAGGATGATTTCCCAGACGCTATCGAATCGGTTATCGGGAACTCGATATGGGAGTTTGAAGATGCAGATCGACCACAGAGACTGCATAAGTTCTTTGATCACTGTACCCACGAGCGCTTTCTTCTCAGTGACAAAGACTCAGAAGCACCCAACTCTGCATCCGAAATTGCAACCGCCATCAGAGGCGTAAAGTCAAACCCATCAATCACCAAGGCTGATCTCTGCAAAACGACAGCCATCAATGCCGCAGTCCTCGACAGTACGATTCGCATGATGCTCATGACTACGTGCAAGACAGATGGGATATCATTGGGCAGCTCAAATACATTCAAGTGGAGGAACAACGAAACTGCGGCTGGCTTCCTGGATCGTGTGTACGCGCGCGTGCCTACTGGTCCAGCATACGAGCAATTAGTCAACATAAGGAATCTCAGAGCATACGCACTGACGAGACACGCGGGAGTCAAGATACGAGCCACTGATAAGTTATCGGACCATCTTTATCTCATATATGGAGATGACTACAAGACGCTTCTGGTATTCTCCCATCGATCATTTCTCGAGTATGGTCTTGAAAGACTTGAAAGTGATCGGGATGACTTGGATCATTCAACCACTGAAGCATTGGCACTGTGAGTCAGTCAATTTGCAAACAATTCGACCAAGAACAAACTAATTGGCAAACTACAGGGGCTGCTTGAATCCAGGCTTGATTATAGAGACACTGAAGACTTTCGATCTTCTATTTCCGTCAATTGGAGATAAACGGTCGCGGGACATTCTAAAGAAATGGGTTGCAGAAAACGACCTAGATGACCGTCTTCTAGAGAACCCAATGATATTCTCGAATAATCAGCCACCGAAAGACCTACAAGGATTGTATGAGCAGTACCCGTATTGGGGGCGGCACCTTGCCAGGTTGTTGAGGGAGGCCGACGATCCGACTCCTGTTACCTGGTGGCAGAAATACACAGAAAGGGGGAGGTCGCCTCGAAGGATGTTTGAGTGCGCCATGGCTGCACTATTGGTCACTGCCATTTCTGCTTTCATCGCCACTGCCTTGGCAGCAGTCCAGGTTTGGATTGCATACTGTGACTGGGAGAGTGCGCCTTCGAGATCGTGGTGTCCATCAAAGAGCTGATACATGGCGGGGGAACCCGAGTGAACCCGAGTGGATGACTTTTAGAATGGGCAAATGCAGCATGAAGCTCCCATTTAAAGGGAGTCTGACGATCCGGGCGGATAAATATTTTGTCAAGTCAAATAGTCTACTTTATACCACTAATTTTGTTATCTCTATCATCCCTACTAGGTAGGTATCCCACTCCCTGTTCGTTTTGTCCGTCTTGTCTTCGTTATTGTCATCTATGCCTACCACCCGCCCGGATAGCTAGGAATACTAGCCTGGATAGCAGACATCTTTCCAGGAGAGGTAGAGTATTTCTGAGGCTAGGTGTCTCCGCTTCTGAATAAGGAGATTGAGTAGGTGTTGCAAAGAAATCGGTCATGTAACATCAAGTTTCAAGTCGATTGTTACTCATAAAGATTAGTACGACTATTCGTCAACTGCATAAATATTCTAATGTAGCCATACCGGGGTTTTTCGATCAATCACTTTCCATCATGAATCTCATCCCAGTGCACTTCAGGGAAATCTTCCGAAGGACTATCCATAAGAGGCTGCCCAATACCAAGCAGAACCTCATCAAAGAAGGCTCTGACAAATGTCCTCGTGATATTGGCCATTCTGTTGCCGTCAATAGGCCCCATTGTAGCGGTCGTGCCGAAAATCTTCCAGAACGTCCGGTCCTCCCAGTCAGCATGCACGCTTCCATCTACGGAGAACAGGCGCCACCAGCCAGTCTGCCAGGCTCGGTAATTGCTCCAAGTGCGGTCAGAATTTGCATTGTGACCTCCGAAGCCCAGAATCATCGACGGCTTTTTCAAGTCGGAGTCGGATGTGCTGTTCAATCGGCCCCAGTTGGTACCGTCCACATTGATCGCGGCGGCCACAGCACTACTCTCCAGTGCCAAGGTAAGAGCAGCGGAGCCTCCGAGAGACACCCCGAACGTGCCTAAGTCGGTGGTCTTGAAGGGCGCGTTGAGCTCTGCGGCAAGGGTGGGGAAGTAGTCAATGAAGTGCAGTTGCTGTCTCACCCTGACGGCGTGCAGCTCTTCTACCCAAACAAGAGTGTAATTATTGAAGGCTGGGGAGAGGCCGTAGACGCCCGTGCCGTTGGGGTACCGAACAAAGGGTTGCTCGTAGACGTGGTCGAACGCAACCACGACGTATCCTCCGATGCCAAGTCAGAATGAGTAAACGAAAATCCACAAAGCGCGGACTTACCGTGAGACACAAGATCAGAGATGGCAATATAGCTGCCATCTGTCGGTGGGCCCCAGCCGCCGGGCCCAAAGAGGAGCGTCGGACCCGTTCCTTCTCCCAGATATGAAGCATTCCATCGTAGAGTTGAGGTCAAGTGAGAGATGTTGTAGCTCCACAAGTCAGCGTACAACTCAACAAGCTCGGGCTCGAGGTAGGGCTCTGGGCAAGGCTTCTCGTCTGAGGTAGGATAGTACAGCGTGACGAGATATTCGGTTGAAACGCCGTTCGGCCAGACAACGTCCTCCTCTTCTAAGAAGGGAACGACGAAGCGCTGAGCGCCAACGTTATACTCGCCTGTGGGAGCGGGGATCGGCTCTCCAACAACATTGAGTGCCCACAAAAAGAGCGTTGAAGCCCAGGAAAATTGAGCCTTCATGGCGGTGTTCAAAAACAGAAGACGCTATAGAGAATTGACAAGGTAAAGACCTTGCGCGCATCAACGTGATAATAAGATACTTAAATAAGCTTTCTGGTAGCCTCATCTTCTGCCTGGTATCTCTTGGTTCTCGTACCCCTCTCGCAATACATGTCAGGAGCCACTCCCACACACGATGAAGCGGCGCGGTCAAATCAGCCTAACTTACGCGCGTTATCAAAGCCACTCTTACCTCAATAAGGCAGCTGGGCTGTTTTGTGCTGTATGAAATCCCCAGTCTACAAGGCTCGACCCCGCTGAGCGTAAGACAAGAGTCCGAATGTGCAACCTGGCTAGGTCAACTGGTACTGTAGTGTGGGGGAATACATGCGAAGCGCCTTGGCATATACGCCCAGGTAAGCTGACGGAGAAACAGGTAATCTTGCCTCGCCTGTACCGAGGGGCAAAGACTGATAGTCGACCTGCCTTCCCCGCCTTTGCTGGACCAATTCCTGTCTTATCTTGTCGGTTTCTCAGAAGCAATCCAACAGCCCATGCTGTGTCCAGAGCTCAATCCCGTGTGATGCAAGAATTAAGATGGTAATCATACTTCATCATGCAAGTGAATAAGGTGTATAATCTAAGATGGAGCAGAAAACTCTGTTTGACAGGGTCAATAGGGAAACATGGCATCAATCCACCTGGATCACACAGAGATCACGCAAGCAGGGAATCGTAAGGCTCTCTAAATTATGTAGTCTCCTTTGTAACAGTACGAATGAGGAGTGATCTCATGTTACTCCAACAGTCCTTCGAGAAAAACTTTCAAGCCAAGGACGACTGCGGCGTTGACAACCGGAACCCCCTCCGCCCAATGTTGCTGAAGAGCAAAATGCACCCAATAAATGCCATCGGGATTGCAATAACCCAAAAGACCCAGAACAAACTCTCACCTGCTGCAAACTTGCCGCCCATCGAGAAGATGGCTGCCACCAAAGATACAGGGATAAATATGGCTGCCATCGAGGTGAGCTGTCCTGTGGTGATACTTTGCCTGACAGATACAGCTTGCATGTAGGTTTGGAGAATAGCATCAACTCTAGATTTATAAAGATGAGTTGCTCGGAGAAGATTCTGCCAGGCATCCACCTCCCATGTGCTCAGAATACTGTCAGAAGAGTTGACACCAAGCGCATCAAGGTTGCGTTGAAGCTCTACTCCAATGGATTCAAGCGCCGTTGCAGCGCGTACCAGGCGCCTAAAATCTTTCGGCTGCCAGGCACGGGTCCAAGATCTCTGAAATAGCTCATCAGTGCTTTTTGCCGTGAAAGGGTTCTCCATGCTCATCTCTGTGTGTTCCTGGGCAATTTGAGATTCGATGACTCGCAGCCGAGCAGTCCATGACGATAGAGCCAGCCTCCTACAGATGTCGGTACAACAACCGACGTCCGATGTCGAAGATCGCATTGTCAGAGGATAAAGCAAGACCATATCATCGAAGAGCGAGACCATGCCTGGTGAAGCATGGCCGGCCCATTCATTGCTATCTTGACTAGCCATTGATTGAAATTGGTGAGAAGGATACCATGATCCCCGTTGTCTTGAATTCCAGGGTAGACCAAATGAATGCAGGCTTGGGCTATGATTTACTTCTCGAGGTACCGGAGAATCTCTCCATTTGACGTGCTCACGCAAAGGAGGGTCGACAAGAATAATAGCTCATACAACGTTAGCTCGGTACCAACACCATCTTCGGATGAAACCTACCATCCCACGCGTCTCCATTGATACACTCCAAAAGGAAACCTGTTCCCAGCTTGTGGGGAGCTCACTCAAGTCGCCAAATATCGTGGAGAGGTTCAAGCGACGGCGAATGCTAGATTCCATCTCGTATAAAGGATATGACGAATCCTCTGGAAGTGATTTGATTTCAACCCAGTGCATTTTGATGAAAGACAGCAAAAATTGATTCCGATGGTCATAGTGTCTCGGAGTCCGATTTACTAGATATCCAAGACAGCTTTCAGGTTCAGCCCAATGGGCCGCAAAGAATGCTGGAGGAACCTGCAGCCTAGCTCCCAAGACTTGAATGAAGTTTCTTGGGAGCCCTTCTAGGACGAATAGTCGACGCTTGACAGGGCTCATTCCCGGTGTCTTGTCAAGATGTCGTCTCAGGACTCTTGAACTTCTCACTTCGTGTACAGTTGGTTTAGCGCCATCTGAAAACTCCAAAACAGCTGCTCTTCCCTCTTCTCGGAATGAGCCTTCCTGTGTCGATAAATGCCCCAGGAAATCTGGATATTGATCCCACTGTGTAGATTCTAGCAGCGACCAATAATGCTGTTCTTCTTCAGGTGTGTGCAACATGTTGGACCGTTTGTGCTTAGCCACCCGGAGTTTGACTAAACAGCGTGGCGATGCGTGGTATTTTATTACCTTCAAGTCCGAGCCAAGGCCTTAATTAAATATTGATAGACGGAACTCATTGAGGGTCTTGCGAGCAGCCTGGTTGTGCCTTGTCAGGCTGTGCATGACAATACGCATCTTCCATCTTATGTGGGACTAGAACATGTATGTGACGTGGCAAGATGGTGCTGCTCAGGTCCAACCCCGACATTATTGTGTCCTTTTAGGACGCAGTGTCCAAATACTCCGCGATAATTGGTCGAGGCATGAGGCAATATCTGATAAGCTGCATAAGCTCGCTAACTCGACCCATGTTGGGCAGGAATTGCAATCTTTGGAAAATCAGGTAAAAGATCCACGGTGCCATCTCGCAGACTCGCCTGCTCCGTCGAGCTCACTCATTTGGTACACCTTGGCATTGCAGGCACACAGTCATCTCTACCAATCTATCTATCATTCATTCCAATTCAAGCTTGTTCTCATTCCACAACTTCCCGGAACTTGGCAAGCTATTGTCCTTCCTCAACTATGCAAAAGATCTCAACCAAACCACTCGTGGGCCTTGCTGAGAAACCCCCCACCAGCCTCCCTGAAAAAGCCCCTGTCGAAGATTCGAGAAACAAACCCGGTGTCAACATACCGCCCATTTTCGGTCACTGCATGTGCTACCTTTCGAAGGCAGTGGGATCCCTAACCGAAAATGCGCACCCTGACGCCCTGAAACTCGGCCTCGTCAGGCTTCGCTTGAGTCGATGGCACACGCAAATTGTATAAGGAGGAAGTAAAGCCGCAGGATTATCATTAAAAAACTTGTATTACACCTTCGTCCCTTCCAGGTTGTTTGCGTTCAGGTTCATCACATGCTGGGCCGCTCCAGAAACTACCTGGCTTTCATGGACTTGGCTTTGCAAGAACCAGCATAATCTGCATTGAACACCGCAAATTGGAAGCAAGCACCGCTTTTTGATTCGACAGTAGAAAATACTCGAGACAGACATGTTTTATCTCTTCTTCGAAGGTCTGGCGTTCTTCTCCATCTTCTTCTGCTTCTCCACCCTCGCCTTGCGAATGTCCTCCGCCCCCTTGATCTCCTTCCTGCTGCCCGCGCCGTCCTTGAACTTGCCAATCCTCTTCTCCTTCGCCTCCGCGACCCTCTTCTTCCGCACCTGGTAGTCGTCGCGGTACTTGTCCGCCTGCTTCGGCGCCTTCTCCAGCTTGTGCTTGTACCTCGGCCCGGACTGGTCCACCGCGCCGGGCATGTTCGGCCTCTCGAGCCCGCCGACCTGCATGCGGCCCAGCCTGTTGGCCTTGCGCCACTTGTCGAAGCGGCCGCTCTGGAAGGTCGCCGCGATCTTGACGCCCGACTCGCCGCGGATGAACTTGGAGCCCTTGGAGCCGTCCTCGTCGTTGGCGCGCGCGACGTACTTGTTCTGCTTCTTGTCCCAGCGCATGCCGCGCGTCTTGGTCGGCTCGCCGAAGCCCTTGGCCGTCTCGTCGTTGGTCAGGTCCATCGTGGCGTCGCGCGCCGCCTCCACGAAGCTCGACGTCTGCGCGCCCGTCGTGACGCCGTAGCCGCGCTCCTCGGCCGCGTTGATCGTGCGCGGCGTGTAGGACATGTACACGTCTGAGTCGCGCCAGGAGTCTGGCTGCTTGTTCTTCTTCTTCTTGCCTTTGCCCTCGTCCGCGTTGGAGATTGTAACCTCGAGGCCGTCGTTGTCGTCTGAGTCGTCCGAGTTGTAGGCCTCCATGGCCTCGGTGTAGTCTGCTTCCTCGCCCGAGTTTTCGTCTTCCTCCTGGTTGTCGTCGTCGAAGTCGCCCATCTCCGCGTCCGAGTCTTTGTCGTCCTTCTTGTTGCCACGGTGCGGGGTGATACGTTTGCGCAGCTGCTTCATGACTTCAACTGCCTCGCTGTTGGAGCCCTTTCCTCCACGTCCAATCTCGAAAATGGTCTCGGCTGGTCTGAAGCCACTGATCTTGGCCATCATCTCGTTGCGGGCCTGTTGAGCGTTGTTGGCGGCGGCGCCGAATAGGGGATGCAGCTGGTTCCAGCCCTTTGAGCCCACAATCTCGCGGGCGCGCTTTGCGCTCTCGTAGGAAGCCGAGTGTCGTGTCTTGAGGTAGAGCTTCTCGGCCTTGACGGAGACACTGCGGAGAGCTTCAATGTCGGCCTCCTCCTTCAAGATCTTGTTCATCCACTCCATGTTCATCTCAATCCTGTCACGTGAAAGTCCTCCGACAACGACGTCCTCGGCGAAGGATGGCTTCTCGCTTTCGTGACCTATGACAAGCTTGCGACCGAGGAAGAGCTGCAGATCCAATAGGTAGGGAGTATCGAGTTCGCGCACAATGCTGTAGGCCCAACCTCTTTGACCGGCACGGGCTGTACGACCGACACGGTGAACAAAGACCTTGGGCTGAGGGGGGAAGTCGTAGTTGATGACATTTGCCAAGACAGGGATATCGATACCTCTGGCAGCGACATCGGTGACTACCAGGATATTCGCGCGACCCTGACGGAAGTTTTCGGTGTTGATCCTACGCGCCTCTTGATCTAAGGAACCGTATACGTATGAGACTGCAAAGCCGGCCTTGATAAGCATTTGCGCCAGATATTC